AAAACAATAACGAAGACTACTTACTAACCAACCCACAATATGATTTTATTTAAAATCCCAGCTTGAAATTATAGGTTGACTGTATTGTTACTGACCTTTTTATTTTAACAAAGCATTTTATAAAATATATTTAGCTATATATACGGCTAAAGGCCACTATTGAACATGACCTATTTATACTATCCCCTTTTGATATTATATAAAAAATCTATTCACACAAAGGGCAATATTTGACCTTTGAGCCTTCAATGAACCCGAAGAGACTGCTAAATATATATTTTGTATCTAAATAATAAATTTACTTATATTTCTTATATTTCTTAAGTTATCGTGAAACAAAAGGCAATAGGAAATATTATTATCGTCTAATATAATTATATTTTTTTAATTAAAATTTAATCTGTGATTATTATAATAATCTGTTTTCAGTTTTAATGAGTTTTCATTATCAACTTAAATCAGTTTTAAAATATTTCTAACAATATTTGATATTATTAATACGATTTCTGTCGTGATTTATGTATAAAAAATATTAATTTCAAACTATCGTTACTAGTGCTTAGGGATGAGTTAGGGTACTGTTTTGTACAAACAATTAAACACTTAAAAACGTACAGTATGTCTGTTTAACAAAGCACATTTCTGTTCATATGTATTGGATGGTTCTGTGGCTGTGTGCACCAAAATTTCTTTTCTGATGGCCGGCGGAATGTGGTTTCCGAAATCCAGACAGGTTTTTGATTCCCAGAAGCTCAACGTCTGTATACAGATTCAATATGAACTGCGTAGTTTAATCAGAAGTTGTATACCGTCGATAAATGAAATATATGTATATATATCAAAGAATATTTATTAACTAGTGCTTATCAGTGACTTCGCCTGCATTTTATCAGTGCATTTGTGCTGTATTATACATATTATATAACAAACTGTGCCAATTAATTTTAAGGTTTCTAATCTTAATTTTAAGGCAAACTTTGCATACATTTCATTATAGATATTTAAATAAATTTTTACTCTACTCAAATAAAAACACACGAGGATATTTTTCTTAAATAACACTGTATTATGCCTGTACACGTTGCTTATTTAACAAGCAACATAAGATTTGATAAGTATTTTGTGAACTATATTAATAAAAACAATTTATACCATATAAAACCATAATTCTTAGATCACTCTCATCTCGTCAAGCTTTCAGAATCAATTGGTATCCAATCGATTACCATACACACGCAATATCTGTTACACAAATAAATTTGCAATGTACTTAACAAGAAACAATATTTCGACGGCATATGGCGTTCATATTTAAAGCAAAAAAACTCAGTTTACATTCAAAATAGCTCAAAAACTATTTTCGTAACGCGTATATGAATATATTATTTTTTCATAATACATTTTTCTAGAAGTTCGAGGATTTAAAAAGAACATCGGAACAACAAAAGAGTTTTTTTGTCATACCCAAAATGTCTGTCTAACCACTTAAGCTTAACTTTATGTGCGATACGCATAAAGCTAACTGTAAAAATTAACTTAGCCATATCGGTTACTTCGTGTTTGGGGACACTTCTTTTTTAGTAAGCGCCTATTTCATATTTGGTTACGTACACAAATATGCATAGCGTAACTTTCATATTTCATATGGGATAACCTTCTTTTATATCTGCAAATATCCTATTTTTCATTTAACTAAAACTTTCGATACACAAAGAACCGCTAAACCTATTTTCCCTCTATGTAGGCGAGCGCTAAAAGACTTGCAAACTTGGTATGACCTACTCCAGAAAAATCTAATTCCGCTTTTATCTAATTGAATTACAAACAGAAATCTTTTATAAGTACTTCAATAAGACTAAATCTTTTATAATACAGATCGATAAAGTAAATCGCGAATAGAATGGTTTTATGTATATAAAAGAAAGTCGTGTTAGTTACACTATTTCTAACTCAAGAACGGCTGTAGGGATTTAGTTGAAAATTGATGGAGAGATAGCTTAGAACAAGGGAAAGGACATAGGATACTTTTCATACGACCGAAAAAAAATAATTTAATTGATCAAATCCAAAATCTTCTTATGTACTGTCCTCAAGAGCTATACATTTCGAATCCTGAAACGCAGACGAAGCCGCTGGCAAAAACTAGTTTCTTATATTTACCATAATAATGATATTGCAAACTATATGTTAAATGTATTCAAAGTTCAACGCACGCGAAATTCTAATTGCGTCACCGAAAAACATGTTTGTCAGCTTTCTTCTAGCGAGCAGTATTGAATAATATAAACACTTTAAATTATAAGAAAATCGAACCCAATAATCCCTACTAATATTATAAATGCGAAAGTAACTCTGTCCGTCTGTCTGTTACGCTTTCACGCCTAAACCACTGAACTGATTTTAATGAAATTTGGTACAGACATAGGTTGACCTTGAGAAAGAACATAGGATAGTTTTTATCCCAGACTTTTGAAAGATTATTTCGGAAACGCGATATAACCGAACTCCACGCGGGCGAAGCTGCGGGCGGAAAGCTAGTTCACTATAATATATAAAGCAAATGTATCTAGCAATTTTGAGACTCTTGTGTTAACTTAAATAGTCATCTGCATACCATAACACCATATGGCGATACACGTCACCAGTTTACCAGACCTGTTGCTGGGATTGTCATTCAGCGGATCATGTGTAACCATATGTACGTTACATCCAATAACAAAAACGCCCACACTAAAAACAAATGAGATAAACACTGCTTTTCATTATTGTGTTATGAATAATGCTTGTACGTAAGCAAAACAAAGCATTCAAATTATTTTCCAGAATGAAGGTTTGTTATTTTATACGGCTGAATGGATTAATAATAAGGACGTTATATTTGATGAGAAATTTAAAAAAATCTGTTATGATAATATATTCCTTTGAAAGGATCTTTTACTTTGTCTCATCAAAGAATGTGAGTCAGGTACTCACTTACAGCACTCGCTATAGATGTCAAGTATCTCCTTCGGACGTCATTAGACGCTTCTCAAAGACAAAGAATGATAAAAGTGATCCACTAACAAGTCTCTTAAAACACTTAGTCTTTAGATATACATAAGTTTTAAAACATAGCTCATTATATGTCACTATATATTTATTTAAATTTATCGTAGTGTCAAAGTTCGACTTCAAGTAACGCCGAATTTATTATAACAGGGATAAATCAAAAATTAACCGTGAGTTATATATATGTCATTGAAGATAAAACTTCTGACGATTTACTGTTTTACAAACACACACATACATAAATAGACACACACACACACACACTGACACGAACACACACACAAATACTGTATCTATAGTCAATACGTATAAAGAAATTATTAATTACGACTATCATAACTAGAGATCATAATAAGTTTAAAACTTGTTTTTCATACATTCTATTTTAAATCAAAATGAATACATATAGATTTTAATATTAATCATAAAGAAAACATATTTCAGACAATGTAGGCAGACATGCCATATTGGGCAACCAGTGTATGCAGTGAGATAAGAGACCATATAAAAGGTCACATAATATATCAATATTTATAATTATTTGACATTTGACATATCGAAACACCTAGATTTTATAATGTTACATTTAATACAAAAAATATTTTCTTCTATAGAATCAATACATGAAACTTTTATTATTAAATTTTAATTCTCATCATTCAGACACATTTCGTCTATCCGTAATCATTGTGTGAACTAATCTTATAATAATAATGACAAAAAATATTAAATTATGAAGTACTATTGTCTCAAATAAATACAATTGAATATAACTTTATGATCTAACTACATGCATGAAGTGACACATTCCTCAATTGAGTAGTGACGTGCAACGCGATGTCAAATTGACGCCAATTTGAGTCTCCGGAGTCCGGAGTGAGTCATGTACTTTTTGTTTCCTGACCGTTCTGTTATATGGAGGTGTTCTAAACTTCAGGACGCATTTAGATACTGAGATTCCATAAATGTTAATGCTATGCACACTATGCACGCCGCAAGCTACGTATAAAATTTATTCACAAAATAAGCGTGGGTTACATTTTTTTTGGGTTAATTGATTGGGTCACGGTGAATAGATTAATGTATGGCGTAAATCTGTGGAGATTTTGTTACATTATGGTTTATATCAAGTGTTGGTTAATACTGATCATAATTGGAGACCTTGTACACAAATAATTGGGAACGTGATGTAACGTGTTCCCAGCATCACTCACGGGAAATAGCGAGAATGATTTGATTATATTTGTGGTATAATTGTATGGCAAGGTCAGGAGCATTTGAGTTTTCCATGACGAGAACGAATATTAAATCACTTTTATCCCTATAATTCTTAAGTACTTTTTATTTCTATATATATAACATATATAAAATTGAAGTGTCTGTTTGTTATATTAATATTATCATTGTTTAATCAATGCATATTCAACTGTGTTCGTATGTATGCAAATACAACATTACAATTTCAGTCTGTCCGTCGTCTGTGTTCGAGTTAAAATTTGAAAGAAATGGACCGATTTTGATAGATCTATCATTGGCAGACAGAAGATGCAAAAAGATAAACTAGTCTACTTTTATTATTAACATACTATTTATAATCATTACTATAAACAAAACCGCATCCACATATAATATTTAATGAAACATTTCTAAGAAAAATATATGCAAATAAATTCCCATATTTCATAGAATCCATCAGTTGTACATGTCTCTACAACGTTTTAAATAACGCTTCCACCTACTTTCTGTAAATCAAACAAGCCAATAACATAAATATTTATTTAAACAAAATGTTCCTTTTATTTACAACTGGCTTATTAAGAACAACTGTTTATTAACTAAAAATATAAATTACTTGTATCATATCCTTTTTAAACGCTCCGCATATATGTATATAAAAGTGTGTGTGTATAATTCCTAAACAAAAAAAGATATAATTTATATATTTGTTACAGAATGTGGTGGACAATAACTGGAAATTTCGGGAACATACTCCCTATAGACTGGACAAAATCCTTCTCGAGGAAGATGCACATCCCTACACTAAATCTGAGTGACAAAAAGGTAAACAACACACTTACCTCATAACTTTTAATATAGAATTATTAAGAACTCAATATATTTCTCGTTATAAAACATATGATTCACTCGCTCCAGTTGTGTTTTAAATCTAAGGCCGCGTTTATTTGTTCCACTTGCAATTCATTCCGAACATCAATGTACGAAACAGGTCAAGTGAACGGTTTTATTGTTTCCATTATAAATAATACTGAATTATCATCTATTTTTAAAATGAATTCAATACTTTCTATGTTATTCTGCTTATAAAATCATTCCGTCGCCATCTTTTCTCACACCCAATCAAATTCTTACTACCTCCTCATAATCCTGACATATGTCACAACGATTCATTTCTAGAGTTCCATATAAAAGACATTTTCTTTTTTTGTAAATCATAAAATTTTCAAACACAAAAGTTTTAAGTGGTCGTTCCCGTATCGCCTTTGTTTCTTAACATAATACGCCGTAAAAATGTTAGTTACGCTGTGAAAAAGTTGGCTACCATTGTTTGTTAAGTTCAGAGACCTCGGATTATTATAATTACTGTTAAAAAACTTGCAATTATAAAGGATTAAAACTGAAGCTTAAACTTGGTTATGTTACAACAATGTGGTAATATGTTGCCGTATAAAAGATGAAAGTTTCCATGTAGCAGTACATGCAATTATTAAGTATATTTGCTAAATGGCTAAAGTTTATCATGATGTAACAGAAGCCACGCGGTAAGGAGCGGGCGTCGAGGCTGCCACTCGTAAGTAGGACATCCTATAGAGCCCTACTTATTTGTCGTTCATTTTATTTTTGCACCCTCTTTTCGTCGTTTTTTTCCTCTTTAGGGTTTATATTGAGGGTTTCTTTGTAATGAGGGTGATTTTCCATAGGGTGCGATGACTCCTGACGATGAAATCCATAGTTCGGAGGATGAGGCGGTCGCTTCTGATCTTGATATGCACGCTCTTATACTGGGAGGCTTGCATCAGGATCACGAATGCCCGGTGAAGACTGCTGATGAGGTAGGATCAATACATATTAAAGGATATACTAATATTGATTAAATATTAATTACTTATATTTTTTGAAGACTTCCATTGGATACGTAAATAATGTAACGCTGAATTTTTTTATCAAATTTAGATATCAATGGAAATACATAAATACCAGAATACTATAAAATCAATTTGAAATTGGACATATATTTATGAAACATATATACTTATATGCATTACATATATGCAAAATAATCAAATATAGGTGTATGTATTTTATAAAAAAAAAATGATTAGAACAAAACTTTTGTTCAACTATAGTTCAAGTATAAAATTATCTTCTTTCATCCACTTCTACTACCTGGCAATTTCCCAGCTTTAGCCAGGGTCTGCCAATTATCTGCTTTCATGTTAATTCTATATATAATAAATCCAGGTGATTCAAGAAATTGATGACATGATGCAAGAGACTCCATCATCCGAGGGTGACTTGATAGAATACAACGAGGCTCTGGAGAAAGGAAAGGAAGTACTCAGCTCGCCTCTCTACGAAGACAGTACGTAATAGTCTTAGTCTGTCAAGGCAGAATTATACTACTAGCTTTCCGCCCGCAGCTTCGCCCCCGTAGAGTTCGGTTATATCGCGTTTCCAAGAGAACCTTTCAAAAGTCTGAGATAAAAGCTATCCTATGTTCTTTCTCAAGGTCAACTCTATGTCTGTACCAAATTTCATTAAAATCAGTTGAGTGGTTTAGGCGTGAAAGCGTAACAGACAGACAGAGTTACTATCGCATTTATAATATTAGTAGGGATAATAATGTATAATACTTTTTTTATATTAATTTTTTATCAATTTTAATTGTTCATATATGTACTATTCACATACATATATACTTTTTTCTCTACATTTCTTAAGCAATGAGATCAAAAATTTTCGCGAGTTTTATTCATTTAAATGGAACTAATATTTTTCGGATACATACATACGCGGTTTCTTTTTGTGAAAAAACTACATACTCTTAACGTTTTGGCTACTTTTCAGCAACTATGATCATGGGCAGACGAGATATTGGGAATATGTAGTTTTTTCACAAAAAAAAACGCTTAGTATATTCTAAAAATATTAGTTTCATTTAAATTATTTATTAAGTACTTTAAAATATATCCTAATTTGTATCTTACATGTACATATATGAATTTGATCTCATTTTTTTATTAAGCAATTATCATATATCAAATTCTAATTTTATTATTATTTACATTCATCGTAAATACCAGTCGTAACTCGTAAACCAATGTCACGATAATATTTATAGCTTGTTAGACTCCGACCCAGATTTTCATCTCGTTAAAACTACATCTCATATTGACGGATTTAAATTTAAAACAAACGTCGAAATCATGTATGCCATTGTGTTACAGACAATGAGATTTGATCACAACAAACGAACAAATAAACAAACAAACAAAACAAAACATTTCATATATATATTTTTGGTTATATTTCGAGATCGTACGGACATATTACGCTTTTTTGCGTCATATTTCCCATAACTTGTATTTACGAAAGACTGTCAAAAATATCCTGATTAATTTGATAGATTTTTAATATAACAGTTACATATATAACCTACATACACATGTTCACTAATAAAATGGAAAACAATAGAAAAAAAAGGAATTTGAAAAACAAAAAATTAGAGAAAAAAATTGACGTCAGTATTTTAACGACTCTTATTCTGAACGTATTAAATAAACGAAACATTACTGAATAAACAAAATATATCTTAAATTATTCTATATAATAATATTGTAATACGATACCAATGTTTCGCATTAATTTGTAAATCTGAGATGTCATATGATACTACGAGCTTCATCGGTATACTTACTACAAGTTTCCATCGTCATACTACATACGTTTCTCATACAATAACAATACCTAGTGCCAGTTAGAGAGCCGGCCTCTCGTGCCCGAGGGTGCGGGTTCGATCCTGGTCCGGGCAAGTACCAGTGTGATTTTTCCGAGTCATATGTACTTTCTAGGAGTATTTAGACATCACTGACAGACGGTGAAGGAAAACATCGTGAGGAAACCTGGACTTATAATTTCACAGTTACAAGTTTGAAATCACCAACCCGTCTTGAACAAGCATGGTGATTAATGCTCAAACCTTCTCCATGTGAGAAAGAGGCCTTTGCTCAGCAGTGGGCTCTGATAGGCTGATGACGACGAATACTATATACGAAGATTGATAACTGAAAAACTGTCAACGCTACGTATGTAGTATGACGATTGGAACTTAGAATAAGCTAATAAAATAATATTCTGGAATGTTCCTCGTATTTAAGAGAAACTGTTATTTGATATGTAATAATATTAATTTAACCTTTTTGTATTCGAATAGAAAAATTAATTTATTTTACAATTTCTAAGAAATCCGTCAGATATTAATAAAGCCATTTTATAAACAAAAAAAATGACCATAATAAAAATAAAACTTAATTTATCGACAGTATTGCTAGTGTATAATCATCAATCAGCAATCTTTTATTTATTATGTCATTATTATTTGACATATCACAAATCATAACAAAACGACTTCAATATAAACCATTGTAACTAATAATGTATTATTTTTCTTCGATGTCAACACAAAAATTTTAAATAAACAATGTATGTACTTCATGAGATCTAAAATTTTCGAAAGTATTCATTTAATGAAACTAATATTTTTCGGATATACTACGCGACTTAATTTTTGATAATAAACTACATACTCCCGACGTTTCGGTTACTTTACAGCAACCGTGATCACGGGCAGAGAAGATTCCCGTGATCACAGTTGCATGTATAAAAAATATTAGTTTCATTTAAATTAATACTCGCGAAAGTCTTAGATCTCATTAAGAATTTATTCTTAAAATCAAAATCTTTGATAATGAACTACATACTCCCGACGTTTCGGCTACTTTATAGCAAGGAGATGTGATTATGAGTGTAGAACGTACTTATTAATTTCCAGAACTTCGTCAGCTAAGTCTATCCCAGCTCAATGAAATCTTTATGGAGCTGGAAGTGTTGATACGTGAGTTTTCGGAGACGCTCATCGCTGAACTGGCCCTACGCGATGAACTGGAGTATGAGAAGGAACTCAAGAACACCTTCATTTCCCTACTGCTGGCCGTCCAGAACAAGAGACGACAGCATCACGTCGAGAAGAAGAAGCGACCCGGCGCTCCAAGGTCGCCTAACTTGAATACTACTCACTCTGAACCTAAGGTAATTGAATATAGCGGATTCGAAATTCAAATTAGTGGATTCGCAATTCAAATTAGTGGCTTATAGTATTTGTATATACTTCTTTCTCTCTCACTCTTGCAATATTTGTGTATCTTTCTTTCTCTTTCCCTCTTTCATCAATTGTGTATCTTTCTCTCTTTCTTTCAACATTTAAGTATCTTTCTCTCTCGATCTGCCATTGGAATATTGACATTTGTTGCTAACGCACGCTGTCCACTAACAGATGTAGTACGCGCGAGCGAATCGCATTCCCTCTTGTTGTCTCTTTTTATCCCCCGCCGCCCTTGCCCCCGGAGCGTTAAACGTCTAACGCAACCGTGTTAAAAGTGGCATAAGAAGTTTCACTTCAAAATTATTATTAAATAATAGGAAACTTATCTCAAAAATATATATATAAACGGAAATTTGATTAGAATATGAATATGAAAAAGTTTTTTAGTAACCAGTAAAACATTTCCTAACAGTATATTTTGTTGCAAAATATTCAATTATATATTATATATAATTGTATTACAATTTCTATTTTCCAGTACTTGACAACTGTGATACCTTTCCACTTGGAGAATGGGACTCCGGACAACCAATCACTGCAGGTCCTTATAAAGAGTGAGTATACATTTAATAATTTAATATATATTATATCTAACCAAAGAGAATTATATATTATCCCTGGCTGTGATATTTTAATATAAAATATTGTCTATGATACATTTAATGTTTAGACTATTTAGTATTTATAATCTGTATTCATATTTACTATCCAATGATTTATTATCTATACATGTATGACTTAAAAAATATTTCAAAAACATTATTATACATATATTATAATATTAATTAATATTATTTTCAGTACTGAAAGCCATCAACGAAGACAGCCCTACTGTCCCGACTCTTCTTACAGATTACATCCTGAAAGTACTTTGTCCGACATAAACTGATCACAACTTAGATAATGTAAATTATAACTACATTTTTACATATATACATATATTGACAGGCAGACCCTGGCTAAAGCTGGGAAATTGCCAAGTAGAAGACAAACATATAAAAGTTTCATACTTATTCAATTGCCATTTATTTAAGAACACCTTGCAATATTGACATCGGTGAAGCAAAAGTGTAGTTATAATATAAATTCTATATAAAAACAGTAACTTCACAATCAATCAACATTTAATTGTCAGCACATTTTTTAATATTATAATTGTTTAAATCAAATAACATTATATTACTTGAGTCGGTATGATTTATTAAAAAATTACCACAGATTAAAAAAAATTGTAAGCTTTGATATGTGTGTAAAATTTTATTTGTCTGTAATTTAAGTGAATATTGCCATAATCTTTATAAAAACATAAACTCGGCGTATTTTTTTTTATAATACTTTTGCATAAATGAACTGTGATATTGTATTATGGTAGATTGTTAATTATTACTTCTTTTTAAGATAATCTGTGCTGTTTTAATTTTCATTGTATATTTTCTTTTATTTTTTTTTATATTATGATCAAGATTATTTTTATGTGTAAATAAAATAAAATTATAACCGGAATTGTCTCAGGGAGAGTAAATTAAATGTGTCATTTGAAAAGATTTGTATATACATAGCTTTGCTTTTAATTATAAGTTGTTTAAATGTGGCTTTATTGAAGAATAACAATGTCTTAATAATAGATAGATTTTGAAAATTTTAATTTAGACTTAATATTCTTGTCATTTTGATTTTGAACATCGAATTATGTTTCTTTAAATTATTGATAGTCCGTAGTGAGTGTAGAACAAAAATATGAAGCATTTCAAAGTTTTTTTTATCAGTGAAATTAAATTAATTAAATCCACTATGCACTGTAATTGTACTTTTAGAATAAATAGATGTAAGTTTTACCTCTAGTCTCAATGTTTCTTAGATATAACTTTGTTGAATAAGAAAAACTATACGGATAAAATAAAAAAAATGATTTTAAAATTATCTATACTTGCCATGGGAAGCTCGTGAAGGTTCCACAGATTAAAATTATACTTAAAAAAAATCATTGTTAAAGAAGTATATTTAATAAAAAAAGGTTTTAAATGAAATTATATTTTGTTCGCATTAAAGCGAGAGCTTATGTCGCACATTTTAATAGTAGTAACACCGATTTGTTGTATCTGTATTAGTGTGATTGGAACGATTGGTACCGAATGGATAAATCTGGAAAACATGGTTTTATCATAAATACATTTATATATATCATAATAGATTAATAAAATAATTTTCGCTTACAAACTCCTTGGATATATGTGAATGTATTTATGGTATTGTGATTCGCATTGTATTGAAGATCGCCATGCAAGTGTACCTGGTTAAAAATAAAGGAGCTTGAATTAACAATTCTATTTCATTTCACCCTATTAACTTATTATTATTCAGGGCTCCCCTAATAGCCCTTTTCCCCCTTTACGGTGTACTAACCAAACATAGCTGACACGAACTTCAAATTTGTACTGCATATTAAGAATTTTTGTTTTAGTAACGTAGATTTGTGTCTAATAAATATGTAATTAAAAATTCTTATTTGGTATAAGAAACCTTCTGGTTCACACAGCCAGGTGTTTTGACGCGGAGTCACCAGCGTCCCTCGTTTATTTTACCCTTATACTGATTCTGTCCAGGAAATGTTCGTTCAGTTTTAATATATGTTTAGCTATGTTCTTTTATAAAAATTATGTTTCAAAGACAACGTAAATATGTATAGTTTATTATTGTTATTATGAGACACAAATATTCAATTACAATTTCTCGTTATCTTGTCATATAACAAAATAACCCTTTTGGACTCTTTCTAAATGGAACTGCTAGACTGTTTACTTGTTAAATGTTTCAATCCATAGCCAAATCCCAAATACATTTATTCTAAGTTGGCATAATTAGTCAACTTTTAGAGTTAACCTTTTTTTATGCTATTGTTAATGTTGTCATACAAACGTCAGTTCAAATTTAAACCGCCTATTCAATCACGAATTACGACCAAAAACCGTCAAAATAATGTTATTTTTCTGCGTAAATGTTTTCCGACTCTGGAAGTATCTTACTAAGCCTTAAAAGGTTGACATACTATTTAATGTTGCCATGTCATCTAGGACAAAAAAAAAACATATATTTTTTAGATTTCAAATTTTCGTTAAGGATCTTGGTTCTAATCAAGTGTATCGTTATAACCTGTCACTTTTATTTATAAAAATAATAAACGTTATTTCAAAGAGTCTTTACAGTAATCAGTGCGAATAATAAGTTTTAACACTTTACATAGGAATCTTAATAACAAAAATATTTTTAACAGACTGTGAAGAAAAACATCGTGAGGAAACATGGACCTATAATTTCGAAATATGAGTTTGAAATCACCAACCTTTCTTGGGCATGCGTGGTGATTAATGCTCAAACCTTCTCCATGTGAGAAAGAGGCCTTTGCTTAGCAGTGGGCTCTGATGGGCTGATGATGATAATATATATTTTAACTGAACAAACATAATATTACAGTAACCATTGTTTTGTTTGGTTATTGATTATAATGTTTATCTCTAAGTTCTAAGATATAGTTACCACTTCTTTGAATTAGCCACTCGTCGTAAGACGTCAACTGTCACAATTTTGCGTTGTAAATTAATTAATTGAAAGACGTTATCATAATTTTAAACATGATAAATGAATTTGAACGCAAATATTGTGAATTTTTAATACATTTTTGTGTCTTTATAGATCTGTATTAAGAGTATTATGACCTTGTATATGGGTTCATTAAGACAATATATCTAATTATTCAGACGAAATTGATAACAATTATAAACACTAAACTTACTATCTAGAACCGACGATAATTATTTGATGATATCTAAAGACATTTGCAAAATAATCACGGACATTGCCTTGTTACTTTATCTTGATTCTTAGTAAGTACAATACAAATGTGAATTTCCAATAAATATACGAAAATAAAATTTCCAAAGTGATTGGCTTAAAATTTTATCGGCACAAGTCATTGATTATTAATTCAAATAAGATTAAAATAATTTTGAATAATCATGATAAGGATATAAAAACCCATTAGTTTGATAATAATATATTAGTTATTTTATTTTTAAAGTATTTAAACAGGCTTACGTAAATAAAATTTGTTTATTTCTTAAAAGTAAAATAAAAATTAAAATTAATGACAAATATTGTAAACATAACAAATGAATATTTTTTAACATCAATCATCAATACATATTATAAAACAAAGTCCCTAGTCGTGTCTGTCTGTTGTCTGTTCGCAATATACATAAAAGCTACTGCACCAATTAACAAGCGGTTTTCACCACTCGATAGCGTGATTCTCGAGAAAGGTTTTAAATATATAATTTGTTAAGGTAGTGTTGATTTGTTGATGTGTACAATAACGATATTTGATGAAGATGTCGGAACAAAATGTGCCATCTGGGATCTTTTAACGAAGACGCTACCAAAACCCTTTGAGATATAACAAAGTATAATATAGGTATACAGAAGAGTCCACGATGGCATATTATGTCTAAATCTTAAGGGTAACACTAACTACTTTTAAATATTGCCAATATTCATGAAGCGTTTATAGGAAAGCTATTTTCAAAATGACAGTAGTAAGTCTTATCAAAATAAATGACTTCGTGTTCAATCGTACATCGGTATCTAAAAATTTTTTTGATTATTTAATTCGGACATACCATTTGAAAGTTATCATAAGTTTATAATCCCCAAAATTAAATCCACGCGTTAGCTTACTTTTTCACATGATCACGTCATAAATTTTGTACACAAATTTTTTGTAATTTTATTATATTAATAAACTATTATTAACATAAAAAATATACCGTGTTTCTAAGTTCAAACCTATTTTATGTTTAACAAAGAACGGTGATGAAATTTTTGTTTGTCTTAATTTAACTTAAAAAGAAAGTACTCAAGGCATTATACGCAACATAGGCTATTTTATATTTTTTGTAAAGTACGAAGGTGGGATTGGGTAGGTACTCATACCCATACCCATAACAAGGTAGTTACAACGAATTCATAGCCGACATTTCTATATTTAATTAGTCTTTGTGGAAATTAAAACAAATTATTGTGAAATAAATAATCTTCATAAATTTAATATCAATATTCTTAGTCTATCGAAGTCACACTTTAATATTACAAATGCTGATGGATAAAATTATAATGACTGGTAACCCTGACGAATCCTGAGGGATGGCCTCTCTCACAGGCGTTGGTAGCAGCAAAAGAACTGACGCCAACCTGAAAAGAAAAAACAAAAACTTAAACTAGTATAGAAATAGATTTTTGAACCGCAAATCGAATTTAAATTCTTTTGTTTATCTAATAAGACAAAGTTGAAACAAGTAAATAATTACCAAAATCTGTTGTCCGAATCTATTCCTTAGAACTAATGGTCCTCCGGAATCTCCTCCACAAATGCCGACGCCTCCTATGCCATCGGTACACAAGACGTCTGGACGGACGAAATTCGTTCCGAACGACCGTTGGCAACGAGTGTTACCTATCACAAGTACGTCGACTTCATTAATCCTCGAGCTCGCGGATACTCCAGTCTGCCCTGAAACAATTAAAATTAACTAAAGTACCATATAAAATAAAACAAATGAACAAAATTATGATTATTTCAATTTCTTACAATCACTCGTCTTTCCGTAACCAGAGGCTGTTGCTAAGAATCCTTGGAAGGAATCATTCAAATCATTTGCAGGTAGAGCAATAGGTTGGATTGATGCTGTAACACAATACAAATTCAGTTATGATTAACTTATATTACCAAATATTTCATATCAAGTAGAAGACTTACCGGAAAACCTAACGTTGGTTGGCAAATAGATTATGGCTATGTCGTTTTGTAAATACTGTCGATTCCATCGTGGATGAACTACCACGTTGTTGGTTGCTATTCTCGTTCCTCCAGAGAAGAGCATCTGTGATCCAAGGACTACAACGAACTGTCTCACAGCGTAATTGGCTGTGTCCCAACAGTGAGCAGCGGTCACCAGGCGATTAGAAGATATGAGGGACGAGCCACAAGCTGATGTACCAGGGTGGTTGAAGAATGTAATAAGAAGACCAGCCTACAAAGATAATCCATATAATTATAAAAAGATGACTCGCCAAAAACTTCAGATTAGGAAAACAAAAGTAAGGATTAAAAACGCTGAAGATGATAACAAAAAGTAATATATTTCGTTCAATATGAAGTAAATACTTACCAGATACGGGTGAGAGTTTGCACCAGCAACATTTCCACCTACGATCCTTTGTCCATTATTCTGAAGGGAAAGGATTTTATCTTCGGCTTCCTTTATTCTCGTCGCTGTTGGTATTCCGACTTCTAGATGATAGTCCTCGGGCACTTGTAAATACGCCGACGTCGCTGCCACCAGCGACAAACAAAGAAATAGGACACCATGCATTTTTATGAAGCAATACAAATACCGAAAATATAGAAGAGTAAATAATTTATATACTTTTTATCACAGACTTATCGAAATCAATCACGTTTGAAAATAAATCTGTTTTAATCTCTGATAATTAATTGATTATTATAATGTCTAGGGCTGGAACAAGTGGAGGGAAAACGAAAAATATTAATTAATTTTCTGAAACTGTATAGATTTTTCATTAAATATCTTAGAGCATTAGTAGTAGTGACAATTTTGTTACAGAATTTTTCGATGCAAAATTTACATTATTCTAAGTTGTTTAAGCTTTTTTTAAGTTTTAAGATTTTGTGTATTGCACTCGAATTGCTTTTAGGGCGAAATCAAAAAAGGCAAACAATTCTCTTTCCCAAATCTGATAACTTTTATAATGAGTAATGCTTGTGAATGCTTAATCAAACTTTTTTCAAATCAGTTTAAAAATCTGAACACTCATTCTAATATAGTTTGATTAGTCTTTTTATATTTTAAAATAAAATGATTCAAAAAATATGTAACATTTTACAATATGGTTAAACATTATTATATTATTTTTATAAATATACAGTGTTATAAATTAGTTCTTAAGTGTTTTGCAAATTTACACTTTTATATCGAGACTATTCTATGATATTAAATGTCTTTTCTGGAATGCTCTTCTAATCCAATCTCGACTCTTCTGCTTTCATTCACTTATTTTATATACTAACTGTTAAATGTTGTCCAAATGTACAAAACTATATTTGGTTTAGGTATATAGATGCTTGCGAATCACCTAGAAGTTTGCATTGTAGCATTTTGAATATCATTTCTTTGTCGAAATCTATTTTACATATAAAAGGCTGATAAATCATTTATATTGCACAACTATATAGATAATCGATTCTGAATCGATCGAAATCAATCGGCTTTTATAGTACAAGGCGTTGTTTTTTCTAATTGATACGTGGATTAGTGCTTATTTTTAATTATTTATTAACATTATAAAACTTTTTTGTCGCTCTGTTATTAAACCTCTATTGTTAAACCTATTTTGTCGCTCTGTACGTTAAGGGCTGTTCCGTATTAACTTTTTTTTTTATCGATTTTTGTTTCTTTTTGTATTATTATGAGAGTTTTCTATAAAACAAATATGTCAAAGTATTTTGACTTGAATGAAACTAGAAAAAAGTTTATAACTTACTATTTATCTTCCGTGACGCAAATTCTGGGAATTACAAACTCTGTCATAACTTTTTCAGTCAAAACAAAAAAAACGACAAGCCCTATCGAGCGATAAGAAATAAAGACACGTAATTTTTGGTCGAAAGCATTATCTGTTATTAGAGTATGTATGTATAAAGAAAGTTATGTTAGACTTTTTTTTACATCTGGGTGGTTATAAAAAAAATATTTTTCAGTTAACTTAGATGGAAAAACTAGCCTTCAAAAACCTTATACTGGTTAAGTCTATACGAATTGAAACAAGAAAGCAAAAATGTAACTCAAGAAAAATTACCAACAGATTAGGTACTAGTCTACTCTTATCTTTTCATCGTATAAAAGAAAGCAATATTTATTTTTAAGATGCCTATATAACTTACCTCCTACCACGTACTATTATAAAAATATAATTGTATAATATACCATTTATATAAAATTTGAAACCCTCATCACTAGATGACGAATATTCCAGTTCTGTAATTTGCAAGTTCAAAAAAACTTTGACTTTTCTGATACTCCAAATTAGGTTTCAATAAAGCGGCTGTTATTTACATGGTGTTATTGATGTTGCAGCAGCATTCTCTATAATAATTATATAAAATATTGAGCAAACATCATAGTCATTTATCGCTATATACTATATACCGCTATCAATTAAAATCAAATATACATATTTAATTTTACTTGATAGCGGATATATCTTTGATGTACACCAGTTAGGGCTGAAACTGATACTACTTAGAGTGTAAATTTGAATCGTTACAAATTTGAACGTTCTTATTTTGCTATTATATATTATTATTATTATTATTATTATTTTTCTTATTTATTTATTATATCTAATAGTCAAGGCATAATTATATAAGAATTTCATTAAAAAGAGATTGTTATATTTTATTAAAGTGGTAAAAATATAATATGTCAATTGTCAAATTATGTGTAGAGCTTGCGTGGGTAGAAAAGAAATCAAACAAAATGGCGGTTTTAATGTAAATATTGTAAAAACAAAAAAAACGAAAATGACAATATTAAATAAATTTAAATCAATACATTAGATATATTAATATTTTTGTAGTTTCTATCAATCTAGTGTGATTCCCGTGACTTCACTGATCCAAGTCAGATAATGTTGGACTCTTGTGAACACGTTCGGTAAGTTTGTGTTACAGCCGTCAGCTTCTATGAAGGACGCTACGCCGATCTGAAATAATAGTTTAAAAATACATTATATTATATAATAAAACTATTATTTATAAGTTTATAATATTAATTACAATATTCTGATATTTTTTTAAGTGTCAGTGTTAATTATTTCTCACCAGTATGATTTCTTCTGTGTCATTTGTAAACACAGTCAACGGTCCACCATTATCGCCCTGCAAACAATCAATACATAATGATGATTACACAAAGATCATATTTATTACGTAATACGCTGTCAAAAAAAAAGCGGAAAACATTTTTTTTTTTATACTTCTATTTTGTTGTTATTTTAAGTAACGTAAAAATGTCTAAATTTTACTTTATAAATTACACTTTAATATAATAAATATTTGTGTTTAATTTTAATTAACCTTGAACAATTAATTCATATCAAATTTAGATATGATTTTTATCTGTGTTGGTCTGGTTTATAATAAAAATTTAGTTGAAAATTGCAGAGAAATCATTATGTAGCTATTTAACAATATTATTGTACATTCATCGAAACGAAATCAACAATTAAATTATTTAAAAAAGTACAAAGGATATGTATGTATGAACTTTATCAGAAGTTAATTTAGAATTATCTGTTAAATTAAAAAAAAGCTACTTAAAAGGAAACATTAAAGATAAGATAAAGATATATGTTTATTTGTTTACACAATATAAATATTCATATAGTTTACCTTGCAAGTACTAGCCTGAGTACTGAAAGTGCATATAATGTTATCTGGCAAGTTACTTCTGAATAAAGATCTGCAATAAGTGTTGGTCGTCACCGTGGAGGTCTTCATACGAAGAGTTGGAGAGACGAACGTGACGCCTTTAATAAAAAGTAGAAACTAATTAATACTAGTTGTACACAAGCCCTTTTTGAGGCAATGTTAATTCGATTGACATTTTTTGATCGTGTATCTAAACCAAATCGTGTATTTGGTTTAGATTGATGTTGCCAATTTTTAAAATTAGTAATTAATTATTACAATGCCAACTTAATAGTAAATAAGCGAAAAAACACTCAAAAAGACTAGTATCCAGAGCCGTAAAAACATTTACAAAAAAAATGACAAAAGCGAAAAAAAGTTTTTTAATTAAACACCTTCTCTTTATTACTTAATTGTTATGTGGTCTACTGAAAAGTTATTTCACTTCGTGTAGTAATTTTTTAAGTTTATTTTTAAATAATTTTCCAAAACTTATGTTTTAAACTTTTAAAGGAATATTTGGGCACCTAAATTCTTTTTAAAAGCGCCTATTATGGGTATATTGTCTTAATTACCATTAGATTAAATGGGATTAATAATAAATTTAGAAACATCTTACCATTAGCTGCTATACCCCAGCCAGAAGCCGTGGCCGCCTGACCGGCGAAATTAGATGACACTGTTCTTAGATAGGGAAGACGAACAATACGTATGGAATCTGTGTAACAAATAAACGTATTTAAAATAAATTAAATACATGCCCTTATATTAAAGGAAATGACGGCATACAATATAAAATAATACATTAAAAAATATAAAAAACACATGAAGATCCTAGAAAATATAATTTAATTGCATACTTGTATTAAATTATAATTTAATTGCCATTTACGATGTCTGTTGATAAATAATGAGTTTAACACATCTTCAACTTAACAAAGTTAGTGATAACGAAACATCGATTATAATTCTGGAGAAATTAGATATCAATTATTATATACTACTAGCTTTTGCCGCGACTTCGTCCGCCTGGAATAGATTCCGGTAGATTTTTGGTTCTTCCCACATAGTTCCCGTTCTTGCGGGGTTTTCGGAATGGTCGAGTTCCCGTAGAATTTTCAGGATAAAACCTATTTTTTTTTATTCACAATGAAGTACTCTTAATCAACAACATATTTATTTGTTTATTTGAGTAAAGATTAATATTATTATGTTGATACAACTTAAACAAATTATTTCGACCAAATTAGGTACCATAAAAACGGTTTTTGTGAGTTAATCTTAAAAGATAGACATATACTGTCGGGGACTGTTTTTTAGATCATTAAAAGAGCTATTATTCTTTAATACATATTTTTTGTGTATCTTGAACCGTTTTCACGGCGCACGCAACGGAAGGCTTCAAAGATGAAATAATTTCTCCCGTTTTTTACACATTTACTACTATATCTTTGCTCCTATTGGTCGTAACGTGATGTTATATAGCCCACAGCCTTTCTCGATAACTGGACTATCCAACACAAAAAGAATTATTCAATTCGAACCAGTAGTTTCGGAGATTAGCGCTTTCAAACAAACAAACTCTTCAGCTTTATAATATTAGTATAGATTATGCATTTTAACTTCAAATAATAACAAAAATGACAAGGTTGTTCAAAATGATTATATAGCAAAAGTAATCCTATATTAACATACCTGATGCTTGTACGGTGTTAGTCAACTTCAGTAGAGCGAGATCGTTAGCGAATGTATCTGGGTTCCACTCGGGATGTACCATGATCTGATTAACAGTCATGAGCCGACGACCGTTCTCATAACGATCGTACAGAGAGTGAGCTCCTAATATCACCTAGAATTGAATTACAGACATGTTAACAAGAGGGCATTTGATTTACAAATCGACCTTGATAGAAATGAGCAATCTAAGGTGCAAATACCGAATACGTATAAACATTTAGAAGATTGACAATTTTCTTTTAAATGAAGCTAATATTTTCGGATTACTACGCGTATTTTTTATTTTTAAAAACTACATAAGTACTTATAGATGCCATCTCGTCTGCCCGTGATGACGGTTGCTGTAATATAACCGAAATGTCGAGAGTATGCTGCTTTTAAAAATAACAAAATACTCGTACATAGCAATCCGAATATATTAGTTTCATTTAAATGAATATTCGCGAAAGTCTTCAATCTCATTAATAATATAGTTTTAGGTTCAATTACATGCAATTACAAGTAAAACAGACCTCTACATTCGTAACCTCCTCGGTTCCGTGATAACAACAATGGGCTGCCGTTAACACCCACTGTAAGTGTACAAGCGATCCGCCGCAGAATCCTAACTCACCATCCTCACCAACCCGAAGTAAAAGTCCTACCTGATTCATATAATAATGCATTATTATTAGATTTTAGTAGGTCCCTATTCTCAGTGATGCATTTCATATGATAAAATGTAAGTCTTAACTGTTGATTAAAATGATTTCAATTCATTTGCAAATATTTTAATGTCTATTGCAAATAATTTCAGATATTTTTCATGTTTTCCTAACAGTAAGTTAAAGGTACAGTTGACTTAGTCACATCTTAATAATATTTTGTCTTAATAAAAAAAAATATAATGTGATATTAAAGAATTTATTCGTAAAGAATTTTCTCATTCAGTGTTATATTTAAAAAGTTAGATATATATTTTAGTATCTATTACTTTTTAATATCTATCTTAATAAAAAAACACAAATTTTAACATTTGATTGGAAAGAAAATGTGTTTTTTTCAACAGTAAACTATTTTTATAATTCACTAATAAGTATATATGTACCTAATATGAAAAATATATATTTAATCTGTGCTGTCTCGTCATTCTTGAACATGTTTTGGCGCCAAAAATAACAAACAATGAACAATATAATAGAATTTATATAGAAGAATTTAAAATAAGCTATAAGTTGTTAAAATCTTTTTTGAAAGTTTATTATTGAGGAAAATCATTATCATTGAATAATTACTTCTATAAAATTGTATTGAAGTATTTTGTCAAGCAGTGAAATCAGCAAGTTTACGGTCAGGACGAGGAATCTAATTAGCATTATCGTAACAAATTTGAAATGTGTAAGTACATTTACATTTTAAAATTAAATAAACGTCAACTGTAAATAGTCCGTTATTTATATGTCAGCTAAAGTATCGCTTAAAGTTTAATTAAAAAGGTAAGTAATAGAATTGTAACAGCATAAATAAAGGTGATATTAAGCAAATTTTTAATTGATATATTTATGATTTAGTTTTGAAGTAGGAATTGGAAAGCTCCTAACATCAATGTTCAATAAAAAGAAGTATCTATAGCTAGCCAATACAATATTTTTTGTCTTAACATCAACTTTTTTTGCCATTTCCGAAAAACATACGTCTTTATTGAAATCATTCATCATATTATCTTTAAAATATTTATGATGATGTCGGGGAGTTTTAACAACAAAAATGCTATAACAATTATAAAAGAGGCATATATATATAAAAAGAGGCATATTAAACCCTACAAAAATAAGATTTATATAATAGTCTTATTATGTCCAATTAGGACCAAAATACTAATAATTTTAATTATTCTATTACTTACTTGAAATGGTCTAGAATTTCTCTCAGAAGCTATTCCTCCCCCTATTCTGGTTAAATTTTTAGAAGCACTTATAACGCCACTCACTAGTAACAAGAAAACTGTTAATTTGTTCAACATTTTCTTTTAATGTATATATTTATTTTCAGATATATGTTATTGAGAATGTTAAATACTTCCGCTAAACAAGCCGTTGTTTAAAATAAGATGAGAAAATATTTATCTTAAATTGTGTCAGAATTATCTGATAGTATATCCAGAATTTTTGATATCTCCACATATCTTAAGCAATCTATGATTGGGAATTCGTGTCACAGTTGGAATAAAAGATAAAAATTACTTGAAAACATCATTTATTATATTTTCATCAAAATAAAAGTAAAATTTTGAAACAAAATATTTAAACATTATAGAGGCTTCGTGTGACGAGACATCGCAAGCGCACCAGCCAGCTATACAATCAAATACTATATTATAACACAAATAAAATGTGATCAATAACATCTAGTGGTGTCATCGGTTATACGTATTAAAATAACAATTTGTGAAACGTTGGCAGTAAAATAATCATTAAAATAAAAAATAAAAACATTATATTATATTCATAGACATTACATCTCTTAAAAGCACGATATGAGGCATAAAGCATACTTACATCTTCAAGATTTATCATAAGGATATTATGTAATGGAGATCGCTGTCGGCTCTCAATGTAATAAAAAGAAAGATATTTCATATAAATTATTAATTAAAAGCGACAATCACGCCGACAGCGAGTTCGAAGTCTATTGAAGATAGTTTAATACAAGTTATAACTAATGAACTTAGTAACGAGCTCCACACAAACACTGCTATAGCTTTTGTCGACGTTTTACAATGAATCAATCACTGGTCAAATTATCTACTTTATGTAAATGCGGTTATGTAAACATCAATATAATTTTCAATTTCCGTTCATTAACTTGGTCGTCGATACTCTATAGAACATTTAAAGAATATGTTATTTTTCATGTCTGATAATAAAACGTCATACATTTCTAGTTCAACTGAATGTACACTATAATTTAAGTAATATATATGTATTATAAGTATATAATTATATAATATATATGTCATCTGAGTTAAAAACTAGAAGTCGTCTATTCATAAATAGCGTCGCAATTTATTAAATTTAATTTTCATATCAATAATAATAATCGTTTCAAAGATACAACAAACACGATGGGATGAGTAGAAATATATCTTCGATCAATAAATATCAGAGCAAGGCAAACGATCAAACACTCAAATATCGAACAGTCTTAAATAATTTTTGTACGCAACAAAATAATAACAAAAGTGCTACAGTCGTCTGAAGGCCGCTCGACACAATTTCTTCATTAGCAAAGCTTGCTGGAGCAAGCGTCGTGAGAAATGACCGGCGCGGAGCGGGCGCGGGGCGTAATGAGAAACGTGAGGCGGGCGAACGGCGGCTGTGGCGGTCATTAGACTCTTAGCTGCGAACACAAACAGAGAAACATTAGAGAACTGTATTTATACATAGATTCTTATATAATAATCTTTTATCATCATTGTTCAAATTGATTTTAAAATGCGAGACACTTAGCGATATTGATAATACACTAACAAATCAATACAATTAAACAAGAGTTAATATATAATTAAATAAATTGTTTTATACTTCTGCTATATTATGCTTTAACGTTATCTGGCAGAGAATGATTATACATTAGACTACACTATTAGACTAGAGTCTACTTTTTGTTATTTTTTGGACAATTGAGTGTAAATCCGTCCCGTTTTGAGCAAGCGTGATCAATGCTCAAATCTTCTCCATATGAGAATATACCTTTGCTCAGCAGGGGCTCTGATAGGCTGATGATGAGATTAAGCTTGCGTCAAATATTATACTTTTTATTTTAGGTTATATTATTTCTATATGTTTTTTAAAATTTCTTTTTTCACTCGTTTTCTTTACATATAATTTTAATAGGATAGATTTTGTTAGTCAACGTGGGTATGTATGTATCTGATAGGCTCATGACGAGTATGGATATATAAATGACTAGCTTTCCGCCCGCAGCTTCGCCCGCGTGGAGTTTGGTTATATCGCGTTTCGAAAAGAACCTTTCAAAAGTCTGAGATAAAAACTATGTTCCTTCTCAAGGTCAACTCTATCTGTACCAAATAAAATTAAAATCAGTTCAGTGGTTTTTAGGCGTGAAAGCGTATTTTCCATTGTTAACCCCCCGCAAGCCCGTTTGTGGGTGGAATTTCGTAAAATCCGTTCTTAGCTGACCTCTACTCCTAGGAATAATCCTACCAAATTTCAAGTCGCTACGCCTTATGGTTCCAGAGATATCGTGATGAGTCAATAGAAATTCCTATATATATATGGGTGGAAATTTCTTTTATATATATATATAGATAAGTATATATAGTACTTCTTCTTGAGCGTGAAGAAGGACCTCCTCTTGGGTTCGTGCGCGGTGTGTGCGGGCAGTGTGTGTGAGCGAGGCGCGGGCGCGGCGGCTCTTGCTCTCAACGCCTCGAGCCACGAGGACATGTCCGCTTCATCGTGAGCCTGAAGAAGGAACTCCGCGCCGCTGCTAAGTCTGAAAATACAAATAATAAAGTTCATTAGTATCAAATACGACCTTTATACTATTCTAGCTGCGCCCCGTAAATTATGTAAAGTAGCCTATGTGTTATTTCGGACGTCAGCTTCCCGTATACAAAATTTTATCAAAATCGGTTCAGCCGTTTGAGCGTGAAGAAGTAACAAACATACACACTCACAAACTTTAGCAATTATAATATTAGTAGGATTGACAGTCTATAACAAGTAGAATAATTAAGTTGTGTATATTGGATTTAGTACAAATTCTTTGTTTTTTAATACTAGAGTCACTAGCGTCACCTAAATCCTTCTAAATGTCCTTGTTTTTCTAGAAAATTCTACATATTCACATTCTTTAATGGTTCGCACTCACTGAACTCAACTTCAAACTTAAAACTATTTATATTTTCCTTTTAAATAGGTTTTTATTTCGTTTTCGTTATTATAGTAATTGATGTCAGCCTTGAGGTATTTTCATGTTGCGTCCATCATTGAAGCTGATTAATCATATATATATAATCTACTAGCTTTCCGCCCGCAGCTTCGCCCGCCTGGAATTCGGTTATATCGCGTTTCCAAGAGAACCTTTCAAAAGTCTGGGATAAAAACTATCCTATGTTCTTTCTCAAGGCCAGCTTTATGTCTGTACCAAATTTCATTAAAATCAGTTCAGTGGTTTAGGCGTGAAAGCGTAACAGACAGACAGACAGACAGAGTTACTTTCGCATTTATAATATTATAGTAGGGATATACATAAACATATGAAGTTAACCTGAGACGGAAGACGTGTTTCTTCTTAGTGTAGTTGGCAGCGACCTCTACCACTGCTCCGTTCAGGTCTAGCGGCGCCTCCCCGCGGTAATGTTGTTCCGGCGCTGCCTTGTATGACTTCACATCCTTGTAGAACGCCATGCGACCGTCCTTGGCGACCACGTACAGTTTGTCCCACGATCTGGAATATAATTTAACATTAATATTATATAATTTGACTTAAAACGATACACTTTAAGATACAAAGATCAAGACCTGGTCATTGCAACTACCCATCATTTCCGTGAATAAGTTTTTTGGGAAGAAATAAAACTATTAATATTTATCATTCACCTGTTGGAGGCTCGCTTGGCTGCTGATTCCCACTCGTGCTTACGAACCAACGTTCCTTCGACGCCTTCGTCCTCCCCTGCGGGACTTACGCCCTCTGTGCGTACATTCGAATTAATAATAATATGCACATTAAACATAACTCATACAAAATAAAGTATAATAATAACTAATCTCAACGATACAACAGATAACATCAAATAACCGCTAGTGATAGGTTTGATACTACGGCATTACACGATTAAAAATAACACGCGGGGACGTAAAATAAGGACAAAACATTTATATTGCACACGCAAAAACAAACATGCGCTCAAAAACAGCACAAAGCATACATCGCTGTACACAACGTATAGACGTGGTTGGATCTGGGATCTTATTCTAATGACTGATGATTTAAGCTCATGGATGACTATGACCATTGAACCTCTCTATGACCTTTGAATACTCTCCGTCGTATATCGGAGTTCATCCATCCACCTCCATAAAAATACCTTCGTCGTCGCTGTGATGAGCTCCTGTCAGAAGTTTCTTGGCCGTTCTCCAACGGAAGCTTCTGAACGGCGACTTGCTTCGAGATCGCGTCTTCACCTTACCGGAAGTAGACGGCGTCACTGGAGTCGAGCTGGTTCCGGCTGCTGTTGCGAGGATATCGAGGGAATGCAGGAATTTGGAGGATTTGTTCGGTTCGTGAATCAGGGTTTAAAGGATTGGGGGTAATCATAAAAGTCATGATATATTTTTTTTGGGATGATAATAGGAGAGGATGAGGAATAGAGAGAAAAAAAAAACAAAAAAACTTCAAAGCAACATAAAAAACACAACAGCATCGCAGCAAAATAACGTAAGCATCATGCAATGTGACAAAAAAACATATATCGATAACACCGAGTGACACGAAGTTAGACATGCGACATGCGGCGGGTCGGGTGATGTTACAGAAACACATGTTAGTGAGAGCACGATGCGCTTAACACGAGTCCGCCACCACTACACTTAACGCAGGAAGGTCGATCAAACATACATTACGATATCAATATTAACCTTCCGCAATAGATGTTCATTACCTCTTACAAAAAGTCTACACTGTCACTACATATTGAACATTACTTATGTTTCACTCATATACTTATAGGCAAGATTTATAAAATACTACAAACTTCTCGCACACCCTGTGACAGTGCAGACTTATGTAATGAGTGACATTAGTCGTACGTCTTCTATACTCACTGGAGAGCCTGGCGGGTTTCGCTGGGGTCTGTTTCTGCGCGGGTCGGGGGTCATCGACCTTTGCGGGCGAGGGCGGAGTCAGGGTGGCGGGAGTGGGGGAATCTGCATGCGGACATCTACGTGCTAGTTACGTCTACACTACGTGCTACATGCTACGTTATATCTCTAAAGTTTAAACTGTTCATGTGTGAATCTTTCACATTCATTGTTGCTCCACACATATACAATAGTATAAGTACATGCTTTCTAATTATTGTTAACAACAATTAAGAATTACATCTACTTAATAATAAATAAAGGCCGTCTAGAATTTTCAGTATTACACCTTATATAATACGGTCAATTATCTAACCCAGATTATTTAATAGTGCAATTGATCTCATATATATACATATATAAATATCATGCGTATATAAGCGAGCTAAGGTGAAGCCATGTAGATAAAGAGCTATAAGCACATATAATAGAGTATATATGTATAAGTTACCATAGTTATACCTACCTTCTAAAAGTCAGCATCGAAAGAGAAGAACACAGAGTGAATTGACAGCACATTTGTATACATAATAATATTTATATAGAACATTGAATGTTATAGAAATAAGAAAATGACTTTGAAGTATCAAACCATCACCATGAATATGACTCAGAATAGATTTATGAAATAAAAGTAATATAGAAAAACCAGTACAACAGTATTTATAAAACAATTATTTGCTATGTGCTAATTTTTTTAATATTAATACAGATTTGTTGCAAATGTTTATTTAAAATACTACTGTACTTATTTTACATATATTTTCTATATATATTTCGTGTCGGGGAGTTATAAATAATAATTTTATAATCGTTACAAGATATCAATTAAATATAATATGCTGTGATAGCAAATATTTAATGAAAAATATCTCGCTACGGTGTCGCTATTGAAATAAAGAACGCTGTGAAAAATGAAAAAAAAAGTACGCCACTTGTGAGATGAAAACCAAAGTACCATAAACAAAGAACGGTGCAGAGTAAAGAAAAAATAGTGCTCAGCTAGAACCTAGAAGGCCTACATAAATATAAAAAAAACCATAAAAAAAACTAGCCAGTGTATTTCTAGAGCGCGGTGTAACCTGACCTAACTAAGACCCCCATATCGATATAAAGCGCATGCTTCTAAGGGTCGTCTTATAATGTTTATAAAGCGCTCGTTACCTGGCTGGGAATGCGGTCGCTCTTGTGATTTCTCAGCCGCTTTAGTGGACGTTCTCCTTACGACTACGCGTGTGCATGTGTGGACAACACATTCGTAAGTAACGTCCGCTCGAATCGACCGACGAATAACGTACCATTTATATTATGTATGATAGTTAGTCGTCGGTCGGTCGAGACACATTTGTATCAACAATGAAAGCGGCAAGCTACGCCGTCAGTGATGTGCCAAGTCTTTCATTATGTTCGTTAATCATTATTCATATTAAACTGCAGGCATTATAGATCCCACCAGTTCAAGTGGTGATATATTAGTACATTATATTCATATTAACGTCAGATTTCATATCTTTGTGCTACAGAACGTATGACATGCGTGCTCGGTTGCAGTCCGTGGTATATCGGTGTTACATTTTAATAGATTCGTGTTTTCATTACATTCAATTATTTTACCAACGTCATGAACACTTTTGTAATATTTCAACTAAATATTAATTCATAGAGAATGAATCGATATATTAAAATGGACTATATAAACTTCTAAGTTTTAAATCAATTTTATTTAATCTCATATATGTACATATATCATAGAGCTCCAAATCATCCATGATACAGTACATATCTGCTCCATACAATACTCATCTCGTATATCGATTCATTCCTCCCCCTCCTCCCTCCTCCTTGAATCCCCCCCACTCACCTTCCGGTTCCTGTTCCTGTTCCTGTGCCGCGTCCAGCGTGTCCCGCGCCGCCTCCTCCGCCTCCCTCTCCCTCCTCTCTCTCTCCGCAGCCTCTGCCGCCTCCTGGCGACGCTTCATCTCCTTCACCTCGAACTGTACGATATTTTTTAATATTAGTTTGTGTTCAGTGAGTGTATGTATATGCGAACGCTACCGCCGGGTTTAATTATTGATATGAGTTTATGTTCCATAAAATAATTTTTGAATATATTTGTATTGGTTTTATTTTAATAAATTTAAATTGTTTTATACTTAATGATGTATAGTTGTTCGGAAATTAATCGTAAATTTTAAATGAAGCACACAAAGTATTTTATTTGCATTCCCGGCGGTAAAGCTAGTTTTTATTAATACAAACGTATATTTGCCAGCATCTGTTTAATCACATGTTCGCTTTGATTTCGTTTATTTATTACACGTAGGTATGTATAAAGCGTTACTATTAATAAAGTTATTTTTTATAAATTAAAAGGCTTAATCTAGATATTGTTATCAGATCATTACTTAAACTACATTAAGTTATTAAATAATATTTACTAACTATAAGCACACGAGTAAAGCACATTCATATTAAAGCTAATAAAAGTAAAGCCATGCATATAAATGCTTCATGGTGTATGTCATACACTTACACTATCCATATAGTTATAGTACCAGTCACCTTCAGGGAACAAAAGGCTGCGTGTTTGTGATAGTAAAAGCAATGAAGATGTTAATGGTATCGATTTAATTTCGTTTCCCAGATCATTGACCGCTCTCGTGCTGCTCGTGAATCCTGGTAGCGACAGCACGGCAATTTCGCTACTATTATCTCCTTCATAAGACTTCCTTTTCCATGACAATCTCTTCCAAAGACTCTTCCTACTACCGGATTTGGAAGACGAAGTACTGCGTCGTCTTAATAGCGATACGTTTGGATATACTCCCAAATAGGATAGTCTCTCCCATAGTATTAAATCGATGCAGGCCAATCTATCATCACTTTTCTCATTCTCATAATTATATTCAAAGAATATTGAACTGTATATCTCTGGTGATAGAGGTGTCTTTAGCGGTGATCTTTGCGGAGTGCTGTCTTCAGATATAGTTGATAAACTGTTCTTAACAACCGTCCATAGGTATGAATCGTTTTTGGTCGCCGGCTTGGTTTGGTTGTCATTTACTCGCTTCGATATATATTTCTCTGGTAGTTTATATTTATCATTCGTGTGAACTATTTCGCATACTATTTCCCCGACAGGGCGGTCGTTTGTGATTTTTAAATCTGGAGGGCGACTTTTTATCTTATCGCTCGTGGGAGGTTCATAAATAAAAGAGGATTCGTCGCACGTTTCCCATGGCTTTTCTTTAGGCCATAGAGTTCCCGCTTTCGTTTCAAGCTAATGATAGTCAAAAGAAGGAAATTATAGAAGCATCCAACACCACAAGTTAGCGAAGAAAAAGAGCTTTGTACAGGATAGTACGTGCAGACAAGAAAACTACATTATAGTGAAGCCAACGACACGAGATACAATTAAAATTTAAAATTAGTAACATAACTATAATAGAATTTCTGTTCTTCAAATTATTTGGGAAAAGTTCACTTTTGTGAGTAAATTCAGTGCTTACCAATGAATATTAATACTTATTCGTATCGTTGGCTACACTCGCAAAGACTATATACAAGAACCACTACTTACAAAATTTAAAAAACCATAAACTACAAGCAGACCGTTATTATATCATACGACATTTAACATTATTCTTATAGAATGAAAACTGTATACGCTCGAGAGATTATGCCAGTTGATATTGCATTCTACATTCTAGTGCAGTATATAAGATGTTCATTCTACAATAATTGATTATACTGACGGTGGTAAGTCTCTGTAGAGCTGAGAAGCGATCTTCTTGAGCGGCAGCGGATTTTTCGAAGGCTTCGTGTTTCTTAATGAGGCTCTCCACTTCGTCGATAGTGTGTCCCAGCTCTTGCGACATGAGGTAGGGCTCCTGAGCGATGAGCCAGGCCTCCGCCACCGCCGCGTCGCGGGCGAATTGATACACCTCGAGAACTGAAAAGTATATTCATATATGTAACGTAACGTAACGTATGTTACAGTTATGGAGCTTTTATGTGAAACGAAGGCTTATTTGACGTGTTATTTTGTTATGACAATTAGTTAACCTTTTTTACTTTTTAAACATATTAAGTAGAAAATGAATGGTGATGTATAAAATTCAAGTTAATGAGTAAATGAGATAATTATACGAGCATTGCAAATAAATAATAAACAGTGGCGTACATCTTCCATCTTAGCAAACGTTATTCGAGGAACTAACTTCGTAAATAATTCTTGAAGAAGGAAATATTAACAATAATGTGAAGATTACGATACTTATAGTACTGGGACACTTTTATGTGTCTGTTATGATATACATATAAATATCCCTACTAATATTATAAATGCGAAAGTAACTCTGTCTGTTTATCTGTTACGCTTTCACACCTAAACCACGGAACTGATTTTAATGAAATTTGGTGCAGAGATAGAGTTGACTTTGCAAAAGAACATAGGATAGTTTTAATCTTAGACTTTTGAAAGGTTCTCTTGGAAATGCTATATAAACGAACTCCACGCGGGCGAACCAGGGAAAGCTAGTATGTATGTTTGAGTGGTGTGTATACTCACTGAGCTGCAGGTTCTCCCAGCGCTCCTCCCACCTCCTCAGCAGCGCGTTCCTCTGGTTGGTCAGCTGCAGCAGCTTGTCCCGTATGTCGGGCGAGGCGTAGTGTTGCCGCGCGAGCAGCTCCCGGCCCAGGCTGATGCAGGCCGTGAACTTGTCCTCGCGGGTCTCGATCTCCGCCTTCAACGACTGGTGGTTGTTCATCAGGAGCTCCACGCCGCTCACGTCACTGGAAATTAAAGTAATTATTGCATTATTGCATTAGTATGATAAAGAGTTTAAAGTGTTTATATTATTGTCACAAGTATTTTGTTATTTAATAAGTGTAAGTAATCTATTTACACAAGAAACAATTTTCTCTTATGTTCTTTCTAAATCAAGATGAATAAATATACGTACAATTAAAAAAAAACTCTCACAAGTTTCTTACGAAAAAATTGTGAATGCGTTATATATAATCTATAAGAGAATCATCAATTACTTTTCTGTATATTTGTTGCTTTTCAATCACGACAATAATAAGAACGACTTTTTATAAGAGAATAAAATTATAAGCATCAAATATATAGTAAGTCAGGGGTGGCCTAAGGATTAGAGGTCCCGCCTCTCGTTGCCAAGGGCGCGGGTTCAATCCTGGCCCGGGCAAGTACGAATGAGATTTTTCCGAGTTATATGTACTTTCTAAGAGTATTTAGACAACACTGATTAATTCTGATTCCCAGAGGGTTGATGTCAGGCAGGCGGCTGACACTATTCACAACATGTAAGGCAGACCCTGGCTAAAGCTGGGAAATTGCCAGGTAGGAGAAGATATACATATAGTATATATACTGACCGCGGCTTCTCCCCGGTGTTCATGGAGCGCACCACGTCGTCCATCCACAGCGTGAGGTCGCGCACCATGCTGATGAACCGGTACAGCTGGTCCGCGTCCTCCAGCTTCTCCCTCCGCGCGCCGCACGCCGCCTGCAGCGCCCGCCACGCCTCCACCACCTCGCCGGCGCGGCGGGTGATCTCCGCCGCCTTCTCGCCCGCGTATGACGCTCCGAGACGGCTGCATTCGGATTCTATGGCTTCAACCTGGATAATAGATCAAAAAAATATTATCAATTGTAACTACATAATCCTTCCTAATATTATAAATGCGAAAGTAACTCTGTCTGTCTGTCTGTTACTCTTTCACGTCTAAACCAAGGAACTGATTTTAATTAAATTTGGTACATAGAGTTGATCTTGAAAAAGAACATAGAATAGTTTTTATCCCAGACTTTTGAAAGGTTCTCTTGGAAACGCGATATAACCGAACTCCATGCGTGCGAAGCTGCAGGCGGAAATGTAGTGCTTGTATAAATATACAAATTTTGGGTATAAAAATGTCATTAAATGTATAACCTGCTGCTGTAGAGTGCTAAGGTCCTGCATGAAGTTGTGATGTTTCCTCTGCAGCGCGCTAACACTGATAGCGTCCCGTCCCAGCTCCTCGCTCACTCCGCGCGCCTTCTCGTTCACACGCTGGAGAGTGTCCTTGCAGTCGTGGAAGTACTTGTGTAACTCACGGGACGCGGCCAACATCTGGAAATATATCCATTATATATATAACTTTTGTTAAAATTACTTATGCGTTTACGTTAATAGACCCTATGGTTCCTTGGGAAAAGAACAGCTAACTAACGAACTCACTAGGAAAACGTTTGTCGTAGATTTGTAGTATAGCAGTGGGGGCGAGAGGTAAAACAGCTAAATATCTCTACAACCTAATAAAAGACCTGGGCCTGTCCAGAACTAACTCAATTCATTCTTGGATACAATATAACGTATATTATTAGGTAGAAAGGAGCTTGAAAGGTGGAGGCGAGCATTTAAAGCGCCCTTAACCCGACACCTGGGTCGCAAGTCCCAGGCACTGTTGAAGCTCCTCTCCTTACAACTTGATGGACCCGACACCAACACAGTGAATCTATTGAATATTAATATGTTTCGTGTTACCTGTGTCCTCGTATCAATGAGTTCCAGCAGGTCCTGCCAAGTCTCTCTCAAACTTTCCTTCCACTGAGCGATGGTAGCGTTGTCTGAGTGTCCCATGAAGATCATCTGGTCAGCGATCCTCTCCGCTGTCCCGACTCTCTCTGAACCAACGCTTTGAGTCTCACGAGCGAACTCCTTGAATCTCTCCCAAAGCAACTGGAAATATTGAACATGATTTACATTCTATATTCGATGCATTTGCGTATAATTAAGCAGTGCCTAATACAGTAGGACCCCGATTATCCGGACCTCGGTTATCCGAATTCGCGATTATCCGGACTGCCAATCGGGACGAGTTTATTCTAACACTAGCTGTGCCCGCGATTTCGTTCGCGTGGAATAGTGACTATGAGCAGCGTTTTTTTTAAATATATACTTATTTTTAGAATAGTGTTCGACGTGATTCTTTAATTTGACATAACTTTTTTATTTATGAACCGATTGACATGAAACAAACACTAAATCATAACTGAAGCATACCACAATATATTCGCGAAAACCGCATCCAACTCGGATCAGCCGTTTCTGAGATTAGCGTGAACAGACAAACAGACAAAAAAAAAAGTTAATTACATTTTTGGGTTTGACATCGACATAACAATAGCCCCTGCTATTTTTTTTATTTTTATTTTCAATGTACAGACAGCACTTTTCTACAATTTTATTATATGTATAGATTAACATGTCAGAACTTGCATAACGCCACGCCACTCATAACACTTATACGTACATTATGTACAATTTCTTAATAAACGTTGATTTTCGCTCATATGTATTTGTTGTTTTAAATAAACACCTAACATTACATATGTATAGTACAGACTACATATGTACACATGCAAAAAGCCCGTTCTTCTTCATATATTGGATTATCCGGACTTTCAATTATCCGGATGCCTACCGACAACAATTAGTCCGGATAATCGAGGTCCTACTGTAGTTCAACTAGATTATAAATAGTAAAAATAGTAAGAAAATTCGCTGATTCGATTCAATGAACTATAGTTTAATTTGTAACAATAAATGTATGAGATATGACAGACATTGCAAGTTCGAGTCCTACTCATGTCAGTGAATTTTCCGTTCTATATATTCTATTTGAATTTTATTTCGATGTATGTATGTTCTATCACAATGTATCGTCTTACCGTGACATGATCGTAGTCCTGTCCGAGTTCCTGTGAGCTGGCGACCAGTTCTCTCTCTGTGATCCATTGTTCAAGGTCATCGACCTCCCTCGATAGCTGGAAGAGCCGTAAAGCTTCATCCAGCTTGGCGCGACGCTCGCCAGCCAAGTCCTTTAGACCCGCGTACAGCTTGTCCACTTGAGATTGCTTCACGGAGATTTGCTCACTGGAAATGGATAAATTGTAATCTTGAAGCGGTAGGTAGGGCTATAGGGAAATTACAGGTTAGGAAATAAATTGTTTACATACGATTTTAATGTAATAAAAGCTCACTTTCTATGAATTTGATGAGAATAAAAAACTAAAATTCTCGCAATAGAAATATTACAACATAATTTTGACAGGTTTGATTGTCAGTACTTGAACCATTGCAGTATTGTCCATGTGCTGACAAACAAAGCATGTCAGAAATGTACTGTAAAACTATAATTTTAAGTTATGTAGTTTTTACTAACAATAGGTTAAGGAGTGCACTATACTAACAATTTTGTAAATATGATCAGACTGGTCGAAATAAAAGATTATTATTATTATAAAAATATATATATTATAATTCACCTTAGCGGATGTTCCTCACTAGTCAGTTGTCGTACAGTTTCTCCCAGTTGCCTGATGGTCTGTGCGTAGTCGTCCACAGCTTGTTCCAGTATCTCGTGTTTCTTCATCAGGTTCTGAGCTGATATCTCGTCCTTGCCTCTATCCTCGACCATCATATACAACTCCTGTTCGCTCATCCACGCCTCAGCTTCGTTCGCGTCGAACAGATATTGTTGAGCCTTCTCCCATTGGGACAGATTGTTTTTACGTTGTTCGATGGCATCTAAACAATTTAAAATTAAATAATTAATTAAAAATTCATAATATAGGAATATTGAAGTCTGTTTAACGTTATGTACCTTTAAGTTCTCGCCAACGAGCGGTGAGTTCTTCAATACGACTTTTAAATTCGGGTGCGTCCTCGTGACCCTCGTCGATCAATTTCTGTCCATTGGAGATGACGGTGAGTATCCTTGGCTCGTGGTTGTCTGTCTCCGTCTTCAGCGACTGGTTCTTCTTCTGTAGCATCTGTACGTTGAACAGTGAGTTACCGTAGTCTGTGTTGCTAGCGACCGGTAGTTTCTCGTGGATCCACAGTTTTTCATCCTCTACGTCTCGTCGGAACTGGAAGGCTTCTTTCTTCTTGGCGAGCTGCCTCTGTCGGTCCAGTAGCGGCGCCTTGAGCTGTTCGAACCTCTGCTCCACGGACTTCTTCTTCTCCTTGATCTCCTCCATCTTGTCGGGGACGGTCTTCTGCAGGTACTCGGCCTGCGTCTCCAACTCCGTCACCTGCTTCGCCTTGACGGCCATCTGAGTCTCGATCATCTGTTGCTTCTGCATCAGAATGTTGACAGATGCCAGATCAGTGCCTGTGTCCGTGTTCTCGATCTGTTTCTCCAGCTCGTTCATCCACGAGTCGATGTCGTCGCATGTCTGGTGTAGGAGTACTTCTCGGTTCGCGTCGAACAGCCGCTCGCCCTTCTCTTTCGTAGTCGTCTGCAGATTCTCGAACTGATCTTGTAGTTCGTGCATTTTTGGTGATATCACTTCGACGAATTCGGGTTTCTGTTTCATGAGTTCCTCGGCCGCGTTCTGCACGGCGAAGAGGCGTTCCTTGTTGGCGGCGATCTCCGCTTCGAAGGCTTGATGGCGGGTCCACTTAGAGTGGATGGTCTTGGCGGAGCGGTACGTGTCGTCCTGCGCGGTCACGTTCTTCTCCTGCACCCATTCTCCTAGCTCGTCACAGTCCTGCAGGAACTGGTGTAGTTGCAGTTGGTCTTGTAGTTTCTCCATCTGCTGTAGAGCCTTCTCCTTGTTAGCATCGCGTCTCGAGCGAATGCTCTCCGCCTTGCGTTGTATCTTGTCAGCATCGAAGTGCCTCTCTTCAACGAGTCTGTTAGCGAACTGAACCACTGAGTTTATCTTGTCATCGTTCGCCTCCATAGTAGTGAGGAATGCTTCGTTCTCTTTGATCATATTTTCAGCTTGTTCGAGGTTAGCTGGCGGTTCAGTCTTAGCCAGCCTGTCGATAAAAATAAAAATATTAATTTCATTAGAAAACTACTTTTATCCAAAAACCGATACTACCATTGATAAAGTTTAGTTTAAGTTACAAAGGCATTTAAAAGTACATACATACATATGTATACTTATTTAAATAGAATGTTCAACCAGGGAACTACGGAAGTAGACACAAAACTATAATTTTATATACAAATACGTCTTATTTACCTATGCTCTTGGTGTGCGAGTAACACCTCCGCCTGTCTTGCGTCTCTCTGTAACAGCTGTAGTTCCAGGGACTGTGTCAGCAGCTGCTGTCTGTTCTCCCACATCTGCTGTAACTCGGCCCAGCCCTCGCGGAGAGCCTTCAGACGCTCGCGAAGGAACATATACTGAGGATCGTCCTGGGTCGAAGGTTCCTGGTAGCAAATTTATTATGAAATGACATTCATTTGTTAGAAGAAACTTTTGGTCATTTATTCTCTCTTCACAAAATACTTGATACACATCATCTTATATAAATATACATTAGTGAGAGACTGGAGCCCGTGATGGGTATAAGAATACCTGTATTACAGTCTAGACTTATTACGCCGGTAACTATTTAAAATCAGTAAGTCTAAATTATTTTAGTATTTTCAAAACTGTCCATTCACTACACTCCACAGAACAACGTTGTTTATTATATATTGTACATATTGAACTAAAGTTGAAAAAAAATATATATAACTATAACTTTTGTTATTTAATCTTAATTCCATCTATTATATACAACAACGTTACAAAATTTCATAGTAACTCAACTGGGATCAACTTCACATATAGGTTTTTTTATTAAAATAATACTTAAATTATATAATAAGATATCTTACGGCTGTAATTTTCTCTCCATACTCCATCATCTTGGCGTATTCGTCCTTGTAATTGTCGATCTCTTCCTTGATGGTCTGATGCTGTGACAAGAGCTTCTCCGCTTCTGGCAAGCTTGCTGGTATATCTGAACAAGTAATAATTACTTATAACTGGTACTAACATTTTACATATAATTAAAATTTTTTTTTTTGCTCATTTGATACCTGATAGGTTTTTTTAGTTTGTCTGTGATACATATGCTAAAAGAAAACACTACGTGTTGAAATTATTAATGAGTGAATTCACTTAGATATATACTTTAGAACACTTTCGCCTATCTAATGGAATTGTCATATATTTAATATAAAAAATTACAGTTAAAATATTTATACATTATTTAGGGATGGAAGAAATACTAATAGTGTGTCAGTCATTTGATGTAGTAATACATTTATTTGGTTGATTATCTACCTTCTGAAGCAACATCGGTCTGTGTCTTGGTCAGCCAGGCTTGGAAGTGATCCACAGAGCGCAGGAAGCGATGCAGGTCACCTGCTTCTTCCAGCTTAGAATCACGCTCTTTCAGCTGGAATTTATTTATTTATTTAATTATTTATTTATTTATTTATTTGAGGATCCCCAACAAAAGATACACAGTATACAATTTTAGACTAATCAATACTAAATATTACAGAAATTTGTGCTCCTTCAATTACAGGAGACCACAGCTTGCTAATCAAATATGACTAAGCGAAACAATATGAACTTATAGTTAAAATTTATATTAATTTTCTAAATATCTCATCACAAATATATTTAAATAGCGGACTTATAATATAGAAGACACGCGTGAAATCATCTTATTAATTTTTCGTATAATTTGGATAGTGATAGAAAAAATAAGTAGGTCATTATATTTTATTGTCAGAAAGTCACGGTGGATTTTTGTTTATGATTTCTAGCTTACGTATATAATAATGATTAACATAGCTAATTACTAGTATGTCACACGTGATAGTATACTGTGGCCATTATATACATATATTATATGTTACATTATTGTAGTCATAGGGGCTGTTCAAGTATTACGTAAGCACTATGAAGGGGCGGGGGGTCTTTGCTTTGCTTATTTTGGATGACATGGGGGGTAGGGGAGTCTAGATGATGATTACGTCATCGGTAGTTATTTACTTTTTAATCATCACATCGAGAACATCCATAAAAAAATATAATTATATTATATTTTTTTATGGATTTATATTAAAAAAAAAACAATACAGTAATTGAAAATGTTTACGTAAGCATGGGGGAGGGGGTAAGAGCTTTGCTTATTTTGCTGACAAGGGGGACGGGGGGGTAAATATTTTTAATAATTAATCTGCTTACGTAATACTTGAACGGCCTCATAGTTATTAAAGAGCTGTGCTTACCATCTGCGTGAGGTCTTCCCAGTTGTCAGTGATAGCGTGTACTCTGTCTCTGATAAGGCGAGCTTCCTCCGGATGTTCATTCTCTATAGCTGAAGCCTCGCTCTCAAGGGAGGCGATGCGAGCCTGAATGGCGGCCAGATCACGCTCCATACCAGACAAGCGACGCTGGAGGGTCATTACACCTGTGCAAATATTAATATATAATATGTTAGTCATTAGTAACAATCCTACTAATATTATAATTGCGAAAGTTTGTGAGTGTGTGTGTATGTTTGTTACTTCTTCACGCTCAAACGGCTGATAAAATTTTGTATACATCAAGCTGACGTCCAGGAATAACACATAGGGTACTTTACAACCCGGAAATTCGCGGGTAACACTGCAGCTAGTACTATATAAAGAATGATCTATAGATCTTGACTTTATTAATAACGTTTAATTTAATAATGTGTAATTACTTCTTTGGAGCAATCTCATCTATACCTTTTAACTTGGTAGTATGGATCTTAGATTGAAAGAATTTGTAAATAGGCAAAGTATTTGGCATAGTTTTTATAACTGTACCTATGCTTTTCATGTATGAAAAAGACAAAACCAATTTTTTTATCCTGTATATTAATATTTGAATATATTATAATATATCTATAATGTTACCATTGAGGTCCATCTCCAAGTTGTCCGTCTGTTGTAGAATACGTTTCTTGTCTTCGATCCACGACACAGTCTCACGGCATTCGATGTAGAATGTTTGCACGCCTTGCGCTGATTTCAAATCGTCCTTCTTAGCTTCGGCCTGGTGAATAAATAATGAATTTTATATAAAAACAAAATCCCATTAACAATACTTTTGAATATTACCTACTAAGTGTCTGACCTTAAAATTTATATTGCAAGTGTGACTAATATTTTTTAATTAATAGTACAAGCAGTACGCCTATAACGAAATTGTCATTAGGCATTCCACACGACAAATTCTGGTACTTTAAACGTATATAGACCGACATCGCGCACTACCAACATAATGTTTGCACATTCAAACAGTCAGTATGATCGTCTATACAGTGAGTGTGTGTGCATCTCACCTTCTCCCGTAGCGCGCTCCAGGCCGCGTTGAGCGCCTGCTGCCTGTCCTGTATGCGCGGCGCCTGCGGATGTTCTACGTGTACCAGTTGTCGAGCCAGCTGGTTCACTACAGCCACGCGGCTAGCGTTCGCGTTCATCTCCTTGTCGAAACCGTCATACCTGTTGAAGATTTTACATAGAATTTATAAGAGATACATATTATCTATAACTTGCGGCTTTGCATTTTAAAACTTTTAAAGATATCGTCGGTGATAGTGCAAATATGCGTAACTACCATTAGATAATTTCGCGTATCTAAATTGGACGAAAATTATCAAAAGAAAGTTTGAACTGAAATATTTCCTAAGTTAAAAACTTTTAAGGTAATTTTTTCACTAAATAATCACTAATTGTATTATCATCATTTATTATGATCATTATTGGAGCTTAATTTCGATTTCTCCAAATTCTCTTAATCAAATCCTGATTTTATGACAAGTATGAAGTAATATATACAGACACCATAATTTTATTTGTTAATACTGTATATTAGATATCCTGGCTCATATACAGGGTGACTGGTGAATTACTATCGATACTTGAGGACGTGATATTTGACGATCATATATGACAAAATAAAAATTAATATAACATAAATATTAATAAACTTCTTAGTAAAGTTAACCAAAAGTTATGTAATTAATTACGCATCGTGTGAACACCCTACAGATTAGGTATACACTCACACATATGCGTGCGGCGGCGTGGTGTTGTATCAGCACGCCGCCGAAACGTGTCAACACTTTATTTATTTATACGGAAATTTAATTCGAATGAGAATCATGTACCGAGTATTCTCCTTAAATATTGATAGTAATTCACCAGTCACCCTGTATATCTGTAATTCATAATAGTATTATATTTTCGATGTTAAATTGAATACTGTGTTTAAAATAAGTGTAATGTAGTAACAACTCGAGGAATATGGTATAAACATAGAGTATTATTCAGATTTTCATATATTTATCAACAATACTGACCTATGTTTCATAATCTCCACGTCGTCAATATCTTTGGGTGGCAGCATAGTATCCAACATGCGATCCTTCTCCGCGATCCATTGGTCCGCAGCGTCAGCCTCAGCCAACAGCTTGAACAGCGACAGCGCGTCTAACAAGCGCTGCTTGCGCAGACGAGCGATCTCCGCCAGCTCGCCGTGTCGCGAGTCTATAGCAGCCAGACGCTCTTGGACTTCCGTGCTGTTAGCATCCTCGGGACTTAGCTCGGCCGCCTTAAAGGAAAACGATTGTTTAATACGTCATAGATAAAAAAAAATAATTAAAATTTCAGTATTTCGTATAAATTCAAAATAAAGTTAAATTAAATAGGTTACATAGGCTAATTTTACACAGCTATATGTTTAATGTTATTAGTATTAGCATATACGATTTATAAGTCTTCTTTTAACTATCTATGATATTTTTTTAATCTTATAAATATTTATACTCTTTACAACTAAAATCCCTTCCCTAATACATATCATCAAACCTGTTGTTTCAGTTGTTGTATAACGTTGGCGTAATGTTTCAGTTCGTCAGTAACGTCCTTGTGTTTCTTCAACAGACTCTGGACTTGAGCTTCATCTACACCGGTATCCTCAGACGAGACGAGCCTGAACAAATCATTGTTTTAGATATTAAACCATTTACAATGGAAAATATTCTATATTTGTATATAAATAATTTTGATGCTACATTCTTACCAATATACCATGAAAATTAAATCAAATAAATACATATAAGTTTCAAGTTCATAGGCTTACTGTTACATACGTGTAGATATATAGTTTAGGAGTGGCTGCGACCACCCATATATTATATATGTATATATATATATATATATATATATATATACATATATATATTGTGATAGTCGTCTTATAAAGCAGTGCGTTGTTAGCTAGCGATCGTTTCATTTACCCGTACCCTATCTTGCGTATTTAACACTTACATTGTTATATATCTATTGAACCAGAATTTAAAACTATTCTTTTTAAGCTGAAGCAAAAAACAATTATAGGTAACATTACCATGATATATCATTAATTCTATATAACCTATAATCAGTGGCGGCTGTACCTTAAGTGCACTCGTGCGTTGAACCACCAATTCAAAAGATTTAAAAATTACAAAATATTACTTCATCTTTATTATTAAATTACCATTTTAATATTTATTTTCTAAACGTACAAAAACGTATAAAAAATTAAATTTCTAATTATAGTCAAAAAGTTTGAACGCTTTACTAAACCAATTTCTCGTGCGCTTGGGAGAGTGCACGAGGACTGCTAATACATCTTGTATGAGATACGCGTTAATACGCCTGACGCGTGAAACAAAAGATAGTTTATAGAAATGTACCGAGTAATGAGTCGGTTCTCGAGCGCCGCACTAGCGGCCGAAGATTACCGAGAGCACCCGATGTATGACGAATTGAGCCATGATTGACATCTCGTTATGTTTTGTTGCATTTTCTAATTTTAATATTTTAGTAAAGTGCACCACCGGTTCAATTACCCACCGGCCGCCACTGCCTATAATAATTATATGGTAATAATAATAAATTATTACCTGAGAGTATCCAACATCCAGAAGTCGATGTCGTCAGCGTCAGCGAACAGTTGGTGATAGCGTACGGCTGCGTCCAAACGGTTCTTACGGAGATGTACCACGTCCAGGAGGTGGTTCCATTGAGACAGAATATCTCGCAGACGTTCCTGTTATATTGTTACATCATTAATACTTCTAATATTAATTATTGGCAAGATTAGATAGATTCTAATTCTTATGATTACATTAATAGCGTTTATACATGAATTCCAATTTGTTTAGTCTCGAATAAGGAACGTAACTGCTACATATTAAACATCGAATATAATTTGAAAATATTTGATGGTACTAAAAATCTATTAAATAAGAAAAACCAAAATTCCAAATCCGTATTTGATATATGATATTATTTAAAGGATTTCTGTATTACAATAAAAGAAACGGTATCGAGTAAATCTATGCAGGGAGTTCTATACACGGTGGCGCTAGTTGGAGACGGAACTCAATAAATAACATACATGATACATATGCTTGTAAGTTAATTATCGTTTGATTTTTTGGTTAAAAACGCTCAAGGTGAAAATATATATTATATTTGTGTGATAATAAATGATTATTATTTGAATACCTGTATACGAGCGGCTCCGAAATGTCCCTGACCAACCAATTCATCTCCTACAGCGGCTGCATCCATTAGCTGCAACTCATGAGCCTCGACGTCCGCTTGAAGCGCTTTGTGTTTGGACACCAACAGATACACTGAAAGAACATACACTTTAAAACTATCTTAAACATAAACCCAATATAATTATTTGAACATTAAATGAATGTCGAGATAATAATTACATTGAACTTAAAACGACCAAGGTTAAGGTAGTAGGTTTGAATCCTGCTCATGAATTTTTCATAGTATATTAACAAATTTATTTCTAATCAATTCAATTATAGATTTAAATGAAACTATGATCACAGTTGGTGTAAAGTAACCGAAACGTCGGGAGTATGTAGTTTTTTACAAAAATAAAGTCCGAAGAATATTAGTTTCATTTTAATGAATAGAACTCGCAAAATCTTAGATTTCATTATTCAATTATAGGTCCCCTAAGGTCTGTAATATCTCTCACCAGTTGATAGGTCATGTCCGATGTCATCAACAGACACAATCTGTTCCTTCTCCTTAATCCAGTTCTCTTCATCAGCCATATCCCAGTAGAACTGCCACAGTTTACGACTGTCTTCTAGACGCTTCCTATAAACCAAAATCACATAAACATTTTATTCATTACTATCAATTATTATAGAATAAGTGACAGAAGTGAATGACTATGACTTATTATGACTGTGACTTATTATAGAATAAGTCATAGATGCTCCAAGAATGTACATAGGTACATTCTAAATGTTTACTCAATAAAAATAATTGTAAATATATTTGTATGTGTGTATGTATGTGTGTATGTATATGTGTATGTCTGTGTGTATGTCTGTTTGTTCCCATACCTGCGTTCCACAGCCAGATGTACGAGCTCAGCGTACGCGTTCTCCAGTTGTTGTATCCGCTCCACAGTGATAGCGGGGTCGCAGGGACGGTAACCGCCTTCCTCTTGTTCCAGGAAGCGCTGGGATTGACCGACAACCACCTGCAAGTGACATATAATATTTTATATAATACAAAGTTATTTATTATATTATATTTATACGGAAATCATGGTGGGATAGAGGTTAAAGGTCTGCCTCTTAGTGAATGAACCCTAGTGTTTACCAAAATTATTTTTCCGAGTCATAAATACTTTCTAATAGTATTAATACTCTACTGACAGACACTGAAGGAAAATATCGTGACGAACACTGAACTTATAATATCAAATTAAAAGTTTGCAATGCCAATCCGCCTTGAGTGAGTGTGGTGATAAATGCTCAAACCTTCTCCATGTGAGAAGAGGCCTTTGCTCAGCAGTGGTCTCTATAGGCTGATGATAATAATGATATCATTTTATATGTGCATATTGTTACCTTGACTCGTTCCCCTAGTACATTTATGTCAGCTTCGACCAGAGCGTGTTTCTGCAACAGGTCCTCTACTCCCATGAGATGTTTCCCGTAGTCGTCAGTCAACAGACGCATCTTGATTTCTTCCATGGAGTCCAGGATGTATAGCATCTCCTGCAAACAAACACCAGATAATTAAATAACAGGCAATATGAACAAACTGTGTTAAGCATCATATAATTTATCATAAGAACTATCATCATAGTCACATACCCTGCACAGACAAGATAATGGATCAAAAGGCAGTATAAATAAACTACATTAAACATCATATAATTTAACATGAGAACTATCAGTGTCATAAATATGCTTATTAAAAAATTTAAGCGATCAAAGAGTATCGTCGTAGTATGTAACAATAAACCTAGTAAGTATAGTGTTCTAGACATTTCTTATAACGCTAATTAAATAAACAACTTATATTTAACACTTCATAATATCACTGCTTCAGTAGGTTTTCAAAAAGTACAATACAAAACTTTACACATAATACCTCAAAAGCTATATCCACAGATGTCGCTACTAGTGATAGCTTATAATTAATTCTCCAGCTTATAGCTTGTTTTTCTCTATACCTGGAAGTTCTGTTGCAGCTGTAGAGACAGCTCGAGCCTGGCGCGCCTCGCCCGCAGCAGTTCCAGCAGATAAGCCCACAAGCGGAGCACGTTATCACGACGAGCGCAAACACGTTCCATATCATGATATCTATGGACATTCAATCGTATTCATATATTTTTATTTTTATTTTTAATCAATATAATAAGATTTCTGGTACAAGGAATGAGTTAGTATGCAGTACTAACTCATTCCTTGTCTGTACATATACAAATAATTATTCTATAACATTTTAAATGCTAGAAATTTTATCACAAATTTTTTCTTTAAAACCGGTAAAATTTTTCTATATTGAAGATCACCTTATATTACAACTAATCATTAAAAATATTCAGTCAATTATTATTAAGCATATAAAGTATTCAAATATTAGATGACACATATGAAACATGTACTGTAAAATTTATATGTACATTAAGATACTTATATTCTTGTATCTTGTATACAAAATTACTACATATATATTTCCATCATTATTTATGTAATATATAACAATAATCATATTAATCTATATATCAAACCTCTCAGCTTGTAGTTCAGAGCACACAGCCACTACAGCCTGTACCCTCTCTTCATAAGCGAAGATGTCTGTTTCAATAGCTTCATGTTTCTTAGCGGCCGCCTCCACAGCCGCTAGGTCGAAACCGAAGTTATCTTGACTCACAAGACGTTGATTCTCAGACAACCATGTCTCACGCATTTGGGCCTTACGGTTGAATCTAGGGACAATATATTATTATTATAGTTTGCTGGACACTAAATACTGGGTGATAAGACAAAGGCTTTACAACAGAGGCATTATTTGCATGAGTCTACTTTATGGGGAGATATTTCAAGTCTTCTTCTTTATGGCAGTCTTCAAAACTTCACACTAACAGAGTATTTGATTCATAATAATATAATGTATTTAATTGAATTGCTTTTAAACACTTATATTTTATACTAGCTGACCCGGCAGACTTCGTACTGCCTCAATCAAGAAATAAATTATTTCTTAATTATTTTTTTGGAGTTTACCTTTAAGCCATAAATCTCCGTGTTCTAAAGTGCGACAGAATGATTGACATATTAGTTAGTTGTCAAATCTAATGTCAAAATACCGTTTGTATGGGAAATAGAAAAGCACTGATTTTAGGGTTTTCCCGGAAATTAATATTTTTTTCCAGCTTTTTATACCTTCCCTGAACTTCCACGAACATTTCAAGACTAAGATAAGATAAATCTGTTCAGCCGTTCTCGAGTTTTAGCGAGACTAAGGAACAGCAATCCATTTTTATATATATAGATAGATAGATAGATGATGGTATCGTCTTAGTTTTGTCATTGTAGTATTCTAAAAGAATTATATCAGATGTGTTAAGCAACCATCGGCGACGTTTATTATCTGTGTCACATGACTTTACACTACATACAATTACTACTATTTATTCCCATACCACCCATGGGGATTAAAAGCACTCATTATAACTATGCTACATATTAGGAACAATCGTGTAAATCCATTTAATATATTTAATGTGGAAAAGCAACTAACTTATATACACACACTCAAAACTTTGTCATTAATAATTTCATAATAGGACGTTTCTCATCAAATTTGGTTCTATACAACTTAAAGGACACAAAATCACACATTATAGCTCTATTGCTACATATACCTGGCGGCCAGTTGTTCGAGCTTCTCCTGTCGTATGAGTTCCTCTCGCAACGCCAATTCTCTTTCATGTTCAGCCTTTTCAAGTCTTTCCCAGGCCCTGTTTATATCATGTATCATTCGTCCCTCGCGAGGAGTGTAAGGCTTCTGATTGGCGGCTCGCATACGAGACTGGAGTGTGAATAGCAATACCTCCAAGTTACCCTTCTCTACGAACCTGGAGGATAAAACAATTTATTATTACATACATTGATTAAACATAGACAATTTATCATTGATTCAAAAGCAATTAAAAACTAATAAAACTTCTATAACAGTTTCTTGTTATTATACTGGTATTCTGAACATGAAAGTGTCATCAAAATCGATCAGCCGGCACTTTATTATTGATTATTTTAAATTTGTTACCTACATATATTTAATGTGCAATTTTTAATAAATCATACTAAATACATAAAATAGTTTGAAATTAAATCCTTTTTCTACATTACTACTAGAATACTGATAAGCTAAAGTAGTGTATATATATACTTGGGTGGTTTTTCGACAGTACGATAATTAGCGAACTGTATGAGTTGTTGACGAACTCCCTCCAGAGAGTTTGCGAATGTTCTGTCACCAAGAGCTTCGATAGTACGCTCGATCCATTGGAGAAGATCACTGAAACAACAAATTAATAATATATACTATATATCAAGTATTTATCTATCTGTATGTGTACAGTTTCTTTTGATATATCTTAATTTACTACCAACTTTAATACTACATAGTACCTATAGTTGTACCGACCTAGTCAAAGATTCATACTCCTGCACCATTTTTTCGTTCTCCATGGCTATCCCCACCACTTTTCCAATACGTTTCCCTTGCACCGTCTCCTGTTTCAGCTTACTGAAGTAGTGGTAGTATGTCACCACGTACGTAATGATGGACCTCTCATCTGGATGCTCAACCGCGATATCTGTATTAGATAATATTAATTAGTTACAACTATATAAACTAAAAGAAAATGCAAAATAATTGTGGCATTATTTGCTATAAAAAATTAAAATACTAATACTCTAAAAGAAAAGTAATTTTGTTATATATAAAAATATAATCATAATTATGTTTGTTCTACGGAATTTTTCTCGCTAACCACGTTACGTAGAATTAGCCCAGACATAATAATCAGTGGTTTATAGAGCGTGACAATGTTTTAATGGTCACGCATAGGTGAGAACATAATATGTAAATAGAATTTACTACTAATACAGTAAGTCAATACTGTTCTCAGTATCAAATTCACCTTCAGCATCCAAAAGCTTGGTCAGTCCGAGTTTTTCCTCAGCGACATTAAAAGCGTTGTTCAGATTATGTATGTGATTGCTCCTGTGCAGCTTTTCAAACTGTATGAGCTCGGGTCTGTGTTTGTGTATGATGGCGTTGAAGGCGAGTCCGTCGCGCCAGGACGTGGTGAAGTTACGAACATTCACGTTGTTATAACCGGCCGTCTTCATTTGACACCACAGTAACAGCGCGTCTTTAGCCGATTTGGTCTCCTTATTGTCTGTTTCTTCGATAGTAATATCTTGGATCTGAAAGATTCCATCAATTAGATACTAGTATATACCTAAATAAAAATTTATTGATGTTATTATTAGAGACAAACCTGGAATCTCAATATGATGGTCCATATAAGACCCAGGTTAAGTCTGGCGTTCCCATCAACGATGTCATGAGAGCCCATGTTCTCGAGGTGGACTCTCTGTTCACGGAGGAACTGCAAAGCTTTATCGACGTTCTCAAGGCAATGGATTCTCATCTTGCCTTTTGTTGGGCGAGGCTGGAATTAAAGAATAAAAGTTAGATTTCATCTGATATTATGTAAATCTTTCAGCGTATAAAGTATAACCTACCAATCTCTCTCCTGATAGTACTTCCAGTAGTTTGATGAGCATCTTCCCATCCCTCATATCCACATTCAGATCGTTGATGCGACACCCCACACGCACCAGGTGAGAATTCACCCATTTCTGAAAGGTCTTCTTCTGTACACTTTCTCGTTCGTCTGAAAACAATATAATCAATCATAAATGCCAATACAGATTAAGATCGCTCTAAATATAATCACGATGCTCAATGGAGCGTGAAAAATCTTATAGAAAAAGTTTTAAATCGAGGCTATAGAGTAATCATTGATCGTTAACACATTAACCGCCAATGTGGTCTTCTCCTAGGACGCCGCTGTCCACGTACGTCCATAGTTGACATGACCATCTTCACAACTCCTCACTTCTAATAATAATAGAAACCTATACAGGTAACTCGAGATGCAGATCATATTGCAGTATTCTGCAGAGCGGAAATCGATGTCATACAGAAAATCACAATTATTATGAACATATCTGGACCAATAAAAGTTGAATTCACTTGAATTTCTTAAGACTAGTCTATAAGATTTAAGAGTAGTCTGAACTATCTGACGCTGAAAAACCTCATTTTTATGTCATGCATACCCCAAACGTCTGATTTTTGACCAGAAATAGAAAACAAGGGATAAGAACACTTTTTACATGAAAGTTTCAACCAATTTGTGAAACAAACAAAATCACTTCTCTCGAAATTGCAATCACATTCATAACCAAAGATTCCAAACAACCGTAACATCGCCAACAGCACTATCACAGATAATTACCTCTTAGTTCACAAACAACTTTATCATAGTATAGTTCAAGACCGGGCACTTCGATGTCAACACCGCGTTTGATGAGGTCGTAGCAGTCCGACGATGTCATGACACCGGCTGGGACCGACTGAGGCCTTACACGAGACATCGGTGGACAATCAGAGCGACAAAAATCAACTTCTCACTGCTCACTGGCCACTGGACAAGGATATTCGATACGCACGCCCCAGATGTCGACAACATTCGGTTAATGAACTTATAATAAACAATTTGTTTCCTCATTCCATACATCAAAGGATATCACCGAAGCTATAACTATTTACGTGGGGGAATAAACATTTTGAGACATACTTAAGCGTTCTAGCAAGTTACGGAGCACGAACGATCACGCACTATCAGATAACTCTTAAATCGGAACTGATAAGCATTACTATATGTAACTGGATTTTTATAAACGGCCGAGCAAACTGTTTGTTTGCCCTGTAGTATATGGGAAAACGGAAATTAGCGGTTACGATAAGCTCGAAATATATGTATTACTATATATTTATACCATAGCTTCTATGTAAATAGGTCATAAAACAAAACAGTGGATATAAATTCTAATAAGGCAAAAAATTATTCGTTACAATCAATTAACCTATAATTGTATTATCATTCGCTGTACAAAGTTTATGGCTCTGTTATCAGCGATGGTTCTTATGATAACTGATAAAATAACATCGTACACATACAAATGTGTAAGAAAATGTCCTCTTAAAGAAATCATACTATACTTGTAAATAGTATTTGAAATGTATACAAAAATAATTTTAAGCCAGCACTTCTTCCTATTCATATTAAATTAAAGTTTTAAAGTTATCCTTATACCCATGATGAATATAAGTTTTGACATCAACAAGGCCTACACGGGATTTTAACGTACTCCAGTTGAGTGAAGAGTTTCAACATGTCTAGACAGGACACAATACATCATTATCCAATCGACATACTGTAGATATGTCTACATCTTAACAAGTCCAGCTACCGTATACGATAGACACTTGAAGTGGATTTGTGAGGATTGCTCCAGAAGTAGGATAAGGAACTTGCAACTGCCGTACATATAAAATAGAATATGTTTTAGGAAAAAACTTGTAAAATACAGCTAAGTTTTCCTTCTAACATCCAAATCCAAATCTAAAACATCAACATCCAAATTCTATTTCAAAGCTCTCAAAACTAGCGTTTGATCCAACCCCAAGAAACACTAACAAAGGGGTAGTCACGTTATTCATTCTGTGACGCACGAACATGAAATGACTAACTCAATTTCAACCCTTCAGAATTCTGCTAACAAGTTATTCATTTATATAAATTGATAGCACAAACTAAATTTATATAAGTGACAATTCCAGGTGTTCTCAACTGTTATAGCTGGTAGGTACTGTGTTGTGGTGTTAGTGTCATGAGTTGAGCATACCTGCGAGCGCTTTAATACGCGATCGTTCGAATAGCCTTGATGATGAATTGCCGCCATCGTACTCGTCAATGATCTCCTGTCCGCTGCGGACGGACGGGTCCCAGCGGGACACCGTGATGTCGGTCGTCATCACGGCAGGCTCTCACCGCGCCACGCAACTAGATCTGAACAAAAACAAGAAAATATATATAGCAATACTTATTTATTTATTTATATTGCAAACATGATAGAAGACGTATTATGAACCAAAATGAAATGGTCTTAGGACATTACAAATAAATACTAAACAGTGTAATATACCCGAAACTATAGTTTGACATACATGTATTTTTTTTAACTTGTGTGGCTTCTAGAATGAATGCAGATAGATGGCTTCTAATTTTTTTGTTTCATAAATGAATTATTATTATTAGTAACAATCGAAGCTGAAATTAACTGTTCATGAAAATACAACAAAAGTGTTTTTATATGAAGTGGCTGTAGACTCAATTTTTTTTATTAAGGATTAGGACTGGCTTAAATTTTGACTCAGAATTACATGTTTATAGAAACGAATATATTGTATATTTAAGTTCATTTCCTGTATGGCTTCAGACGAGAGTAATTTTTTTTCGTATTATAAAAAAATAAAGTTTATTTTACCGAAAACCGTTAGACCGGAATTAGAAGAATAATGTCAAAGATCAAGAGAACTACAACTAACTTTATTATTTACAAATATTTTATTACACTTAATATTACTTTGATAAAAAGAATTTATTTCATTTAAATACGTTAGACGACAGATGTAAACTTTGATAAAGACAAAAGAAATTATGAAACCAAGTCATAAAACATCTACAGAAACATTCATACATTTTTATAAGTAAACTACTTTTTTATGGTTCAAAATTTGAAGTCACCATTCTAATGACTTTATTACGTCATCGAGTAATTTCCTCTACCTTTAAACAGATAACGTCTACAAATACTTTAGGTTAAAAACTGTACAGTTTTGTTTAACTCACTGACCGACAACCGAATACCATTACAAAATATACCTCACCTTGAACGATTCCGGACTTATTAGGCAAAACGTGTAAACTAAACAAAACACACTGCGTTCAACTGCTGTTAAAACATAGGGGGCCGATATAGTTTACAAAACAACAACATACCAACTAAAACTTTATATAAAATTAATTATGACGTAATTATATTGGGTTCTTAGTAAATGATTTCAATATTTCTTGATGACGTCATCGAATACGATAAGATAAGAGTTGACGAGTGCTCTCAAAACGACTGATAGAAAAGAAACAATATATTTAATGTAACAACTAAAATGAAGCTTATAGAATATAAATAGACACGGAAATAAGATAATGGATATATTTGGCAATTAACTAAAATACTTATGTTTTCATTTACTTAGATCGCTCTCAAGTCTCAATTAACAAACAAAGATTTATATTTTAAGACTTAATAAATATGTACGTGCCTACGTGACGTATGTGAACAATTTAATGTTAATTTATGTGTATAAACAAAAAGGTACAAGCAAAATTCTGTACCCACATTGATCACCATAACTAAGATATTACAGTCAATACGCTTACTCAAAGTTTGTAGTCAAAAGATATACGGAACATTGTTAGTTTTTCATGAAAAAAACATCGTATATTTTAGGATACATTTAGATCATTTAATAAGTAAACGGAAATAGCTTCGTAAGTAATGTAAGGATGCAATCTTATGATAATCGTACAGAAATCCATAGTTGCTGAGTATAAATATTATACATTTATGTCTTCGTTAATAAGTGTTATAACTCTTGGTCATATATTAATTAAACACAATGCGTTAATTATCCTCAACGTCTAACTCTCGCTTGTCCTCAATTCCCAGATCTCGCACGTGATATCTTTATGAAACAATAGTCTCACACACATTCACACATTCGTAATTCGTATAATGTTATTTTTTATAACATTCGAACCAACTTAAGATTTATAATTATTCGTTTTTTCTAAGGCTAATTCAATTTTTAATAAAAACAATTAAGCTATGTGTTTCGCGTAAAAAATGTCTGTAAATTGCTATAAGGAAATGGCATACATTTTAGAGATAAATCAGAAAGAAAAATCATATATAAGTAAGTATATTTAATATATAGTAATATTGTGAGAAAATAAAATCACAATTATTTTATTAATTATGACGTATACATAAGATGTTATCTAAAGTGTAAACCAATATTTTGTAGGACGATTGTCTTTTACTCTATCTGAGATATCCTTGACCTAGAGGTCAATTTTAAATATATTAAGACGTAATGATTATAATAAAGCAGTATTTAATATAAAAGATTGCAAATGTACCTTTAAGAGACATCAAAAATAAGTTATAAAAAATATATAATTCAATATTCGGAATAAAAATACGATTGCTGATTTAAATCTTTTTTATGTATTTATATAAAAGAAAAAAAGAAAGAGAGAGAGGACGGGAGACAAAGAAAGTTAAATTAAAAATAACAGTTCCTACTATTTAAACCTTTCAAAAACCTTAATTAAATTTCTCGATTCAGAAGCAAATAATTTACATTAGATTTAGAGAAAAATGTCAAGTGTCGTGATATATATACTTTTAGTGTTCATTTAACCTAAAAGCTTAGTAAATCGACATCACTGACAAGTTTTTATATGGGACATGCCACGCCCAAAACCTTTGTCGGTCGCTCGCCCATGAGCATGACCTTATCCTACAATAGCCAAACTTTATACACGAAGGTCGAATTAAACTATGTGATATTTGATGGTGTTTCATTATGTATTTTCATGTTATATATTAAAGTTTTTTATACGTGAGTATAAGATATTTATAATTATTTAATAATTATGAACAACAGTCTGAATCATTTTAAAATATTTTTTCGTCACCATTCACACAATGTGTCATTAAAATTATAAGAATATCTCGTGGGAGCATCTCTAACATGTACATGAAAATATACGTTTTTCCTTGATTTTTCAAGTTTTTTTGTATAAGTTGTTTCAAATCATGATAAAAATAATATCATAGATATTACGTAATGATTAAAAATAGATAATTGAATCAGTTTAGTGCTAAAACACTGATGACTAACAAACAACAGTACAATTCATTATTTATTTATAAATATTATAACTTATAAGCTCTAAGATGTAATAAAAAAGATGAACTAAAAGTTATTAATATAATACATGTCAGTCAAGTATGCTAAATAAAATGCTATTTTATCATATAAACGTAAATATAAATACGAAACTGTAATTATTAATAAGCGCAGCTTGAATTAAACTACGTTTAATTAAATGATTTACATAATTGACAATAAAAGTGATATCTTTTAATTTAAACTTCCAAATGCTATTATTGGATAGATTGATCAAAAAAAACTGTATTATATTAAATATGAATAGAATAAATAAAATTTTAAACTCAGATCGTATATTAAAAACTAAATATAAAATCGAGCTTACGTAAAAATATTAATAAATATTCTTACAATATCAACTACAAAAATTTATATTTAAATATATGACACAGAATTAAATTTACTGTAGTAGCCAAAACCGTAGAATATAAATAATTAATAAGTCGAAATGTATAAAGTAAAAAAACGATTAAATAAAACACAACATAACAGGCTGAGTTTGAAACAAAGCTTATAATTTGTTATTATTGTTAAGAACAAAAGTCGGCTGTACCGGCCACATCTAATAGAGCGAGGTTCATTGACCTGCGAGCCAGACATGGCGTCGCTACACCATAGACTACCATTAAAAGCCACATAACATACCCATCAGCCTACGGCCGTTACGAGTAATTCAAACTTCTATTTATCAGGATAGACACGCAACCTACTAAAAACTTTGGAACACGTCTAATACATGAAAAATATTTTAAATATACGCGTCTTATTAACCAAATATATTTATGTACTGTAGCAATTGGCATAGATTTTCTTTCCCAACCCATTTCCACCAGGTCTAGAGAGCGGCTAGACGTCACCGTATTATTCGGGGACGTATTCCGTCACCAATCGAAATTCAGTGGAGTGATATCAAAGTCACAATAATTTAAACCTTATCGTGTAGTTATAGATAGCATAATATCGTGCGACGACTATATACGCTGAATGAAACGTTCCGGTAAGAACGGAAATCCTTCAACCGGTACAGTCGCGGGGCTGTGTAGTTACCAATAAAATATATACATAGTTAACTTGGATTAAACTCTAATCAAGAATAAGGAGGTTCTTACGATCAGTTGCTAACAAATTAAGATTTCCGCATTCAAATATAGCTTATGAGGTCAAATCTATTCATAGAGTACCGGCGCTCACTCTTCATGTGCTAGTGCATATTCATTCAACAAATCGACACTTAATAAATCATCAGACGGAAAAAAACTTAACATCCAGTAAAAAATTTACTTAAAATCATATAAAGGTGATATGTATAATATAAATTAATTATTTACTAGAGCGAAACAAAAAAATGAACTACAAAAACAATGAGCCGCAATTACTATGTGCATACCGTCCCATTCATTCAAAGCCACAGGAAGCAATGCGATTTTAATCGAGGGTAGCCCCACAAAAACAACACCTGCATTATGACAAGGGAATAGAGTTCAAAATGATTGAGCATTTACGAATAACTGTTTCCATGGAACCAGAACCTACTTATTAACAACACGCCAGACCCTAAACGCTTCTGCATTTTAACAGCAGTATTATATTTGTTTTTGTAAGCGACCATCAACAATTCTAGCGTACGGTACGGTATCTGTTATGCACATGTTATGTTTACGAGCTATTGTTGTAGATACACATATGTAACTCTATCTACATATATTGTAAAGTAACAAACGATACAAAACTCTTAGCGAATTGTAAAAAGCCTTAAAATCGAAAGTCTGCACGCAATGTATTTTCTCAAGAATAATAATTCTTAGACTTTAACGTAAGCATTGGCAGCAGCTTTGGGTTATGCAAAAAAATACTACCCACGACCGTAATGTCTGCACGAAATTGCCTTTACAAAATTACAAAAATGTCACGATTACTAGATACGAAAATAATTGATATCAAAGTATTCTAAA